AAAATGCAGCTATTGTGTTGTATGACATGCATTTGACAGTTGTATCACTTTTAATACTAACAGCAGGACTTGTCACCTCTATAACATTTTTGAGTGTTTATGTTTTTGCATAAGCCCAGCAAACATGGCAAGGTAGGCCAGAATTATGATCCCCTGGGTTGTAAATGAAAGAACTTCCCTAAGGCCTCCATACAAGTTGAAGATGCCGCTTAGGAGCTTCTTGGTGCACTACTGGAACAGCGGAGCCACTGCGACCTCTCTGGAGGCAGCAGTGGCACAGTTTTGAGGGAAAGGAGGAGAGCAATGGGAGGCAACAGCAGCATGTGGTCTTTTAGCCATTGCAACACACCCTCTCTCATCTATTATAATGTAAAATTGATGAAAATACCTACAGAACAGGGGTAAGAATGAGAGAGTCCCTGAGCACATGCTTTTCCTTCACCTCTGAGTAATTATATCCAATTGTGCATTAATTTGGAATTATGCAGAAAGAAGCTTCAAGGCAAGGCTCCGTGAAAATAAAGGAAGAGGGGAATGCTCTTTTCCCACTTTCAAGGGGGCTGCCTTGAATACACAGGCCCGGTTCTGTCCACTGCAAACTTCAACTCATCCATAGGGCAAGGGGGGGAGGGGTTGTAAGCCAGTACTTGCTGTGCTATGTCTTTGCGTTAAACTGTACAGCAGCCTTTTCCAAACTGGTGCTTTCTAAAAGTTTCGAACGATGACTAGCAGCGTCCCTGGCCTTGCCTGGGGCTTATGGGAGGTCTAGAACCTGCAAAGGGGAGGCCGGTAATGTGCGCACGCGCTCCCCCTCCTCAGCAAGTCGAGTCTTTTTAGTCCCGCAGTGACAGAAGGGGCAGAAAGAGGCTTTCTCCGTCAGGCTCCCGTCGCGTGTCTGCAGGAACTACAAGCTGCCAGGCTTAAGTCACGCAAGGGTTGCTTCCGCCGTGTGCTGTGCGTCTTCATGGGGCGAAGTCTTTTCTGAAAGCCGCCCTCGGCTTCGGAGATGGAGGTGTTGCCCCTGGGGGCAAAGACGTTTGTTTCTCCAGTTTGCCCACTTTTGAGGACTTCGCGTTTCCCCGCGAAATTCCACGCCCGCCTCACACCAGGAGCACGGCGCGAATCCTGTGCGTGGCTTCCCACGTGCCTCTCTTTCGCCACGCGGCAGCCGGGAAGAGCGCGTGTCGTGGCGGCTTCCCGGCGCGTGTGCAGCCACAGACGCGTGTGGGGGATTCGTGCAGATGAACGGGTGGTCCCGTGTGCAGCTGCTAGTGCAGCAGCAACGAGACTGAGGCAGAAACCCTCGCCGCCTCCTCCGAGCAATTCACCCGCTGGGCCTCCAACCACACCCCAAAGTGGATTCTTCCGTGGAGAGTAAGATCGGGCGTGCTCCGTTCACACGGTCCCTCGTCTCGTGCTGCTGCCGCCGCCTTCCCAGGCCGTTCCCCGCTGGTGTCTCCCGCGTCGCTTCTCCCCTCCGGTAGAGCAGCGCCCACTCCCGCCGCCGCAGCCGCTGGAGACGGAGGGAGAACAGAAGCTGGCATTGCCGCTACAGCTCTGCATTTTTGGAGCGATGCTGTTGGGCGGAGGAGCGGGGGCAGGGCAGAGAAGATGGCTCCACACGGAGAGACAGGCTGAAAAGCCTCCTCACCCCGTCGTCCCTGCATTGGCTTCAGCGCTGACTTAAGAGTCACACGTGTTCGAAGGTGCACACGTGTGTTGCAATGTCAAATAAGTGCACTTCTTTTGTTTTATTTCAAGGAAGAGTCATGTAAGGTAATCTGGAAGCGGTTGCTGCTTAGCACCCAAAATAGGTGCCTGCAATCTCCGCTCCTTGCTGTGATGTTACCCTGGATTTTCATCTGTGAAAATAATATGGCAGAGGGAGAATACCAGTGCGAGGTCCACCCGTGAGTGCACCCTTCTCGTTAACGGAACGTTGGGGGGGGGGCAGCCCGGGTTTTAGAGTCCAAGTGTGAGCAGGTTTTCCTCGGCTGAAAGGAAAATTTGAGGAAGATGGGTTTTGCCTGGCACAGCAGCCATACGGTGCCCCAGTTACAAGAGCCCTCCCTTCTATGCAAGCTATTAAGACAGCCTTCCCCAACCAGGTGCTCTCCGGATGTTTTGCATTACTACTGTTAGCATTACTGAGCACTGGCTGTGTCTGGGAGTAGAAGTCTAAAACACCTGGAGGGGAACCTGGATGGGAAAGGCTGTATTAAGAAGTAGTGGACCCTGCCCTGTGTAACGAACGTAGTGGAGGGCAGTGGGGAGGGCTTTAGCGTAAACTTCCTGAGGTTCACCGATGGAACTTTCTCATCATCCCTTTGTTAGTTTTTAAAGAGTTGTTAACTAGCATCCATTCTGTCAAAATATGTTTCCAGAACAGGCACACAAATGACACCCTATTGTGAAGATTAGTGATATAATTTACATAAGTGCTTTGCATATTTAAAATGTGCTATATAGGAAGTGGCAATGAGTTAGTTTTAGGATCCAAAGTGCAATCTTTAGTGGTTTCCCAGTAAGGCCACCATGGTGTTAGCATCTCTGCACCTTGTGGTCCAACTGCCAGGTGGTCAGAGATGCTGACTTTCCAGAAAGGTTAGAAATAGAAGCCACTGCCTTATACGGAGTCAGGGCCTTGGTCCATCCATCCCAGTATTGTCAACACTGACTTTCCAGGCACCCACTGTATGCAAAGCAGGTGTCCTGTGCCCCCCCCACCCCAGTCACAGCTCCTCCCTGAGGCTACATACTCTTCACCACATCCATGTCTCTTCTTAATCAATCCTTGCTCCTCTTCATCAATATCCTTTTTTGCTTATATTAGAGTTCAGGGGTTCTTCCAGCCCTTCATTGTATGTTAAACATAGGATGACATCCAGATGGATCACATATTTCATAATTCATGAGCAAACACAGTGGAGTCCTTTCCTGCAAAGAATTGCAAATGAAAATTAAGAAAGAAACACACACAAGAAAGGAAGGAAAAGCGAAAGTTGGCAAGTGATGATACACAAGCAAATGCAGTTAACATGTGCATATAAATGGATTAGAGTTGGAAATGGGGACTTGCTCTATTTCTGCTGAAGGCCATGGAGAGAAAGTGGGGTTTGAGGAGGGAGTTGTGGGAAAGTGGGGGGGGGGCGCAGAATCTCTTGCATGTTGCTAATGCTCAGAATATTTTGTATAAAGTACAGCAAGGCAGTGGCAGAATGGAGATTGACAGCTTGGCTGCAGGAATTTGATTATAGGAAAACAGGGAACAACCACAATATGATTTAGCATTTATACAGCATACTTCAAGTGTTCAAAGTGCTTCACACAGATTAGTTCAGTAATCCTTGCAACAACAGTTCTATTGGGAAAGCCATTATTATTATCTTCATATTGCAGACTGAGGCAGAAGAAAGGGGGGTGGAAACTCATGCCACAGAGAGACTGTCTGAAAAACTTATTCCTGAAAAGCTGTCTGAGAACTCACCAGCTGTGTAGAAGTTGCTACCTTTTTTCTGACTCTGTTCTTGTACAATCTGACATACAGAAATGGAAAAGGGGAAGCTTCCCAGCAGGTAGACACTGGAAAATCCTCAGCTGCTAATTTTTTGTGCATTGGGTTGATGTTTAAGATGTAGGAGCAGAGCCAGTAAAAACAATACAATGCAACATGGGATAACTCTGCTGTTATGCCTTAGTAGTGGCTGTCATACAACAGGACTTGATCTAATTTCATATGGTCAAGATTATCCCTATTATCTGTCCCTGTTTTGCCTTTGGAGAGATTTTAGAATGGAAAACATTAGCTTTCTTTGCACCATACTGGTTGTTGCTGTGTTCAAATTGTAGCTATTTTGTAAGAGCATTCACACACACACACATACTCTAATCTATTCGATATTGTTGAAAGTTTTGTAAACTAGAGGTTCTTAGGGCTGCCTTACTAACAAACCGTCTTCTAAACCCAGTTTAGGACAGGTTAGTGCAGGCTTGTGATGCTTTAACTTGAAGTCTTGCATTGAGCAGGAGTTGAACTCAATGGCTTTATGGGTGCTTTCCTACTCTGCTATTCTATGGCTCCCAATGTGGTGCCCTCCAAGTGATTTGGACTACAGCTCCCAGCATTCATGACCATTGGCTGTGTTGGCTGGTGCTGACAGGATTCAACTCAAAACATCTGGAGAGCACAAGGTTCAGAAAAGCCTTCAGCAATCTATGTGCGGGGGGGGGGGGAATCTTTTTTCTGTGGAGTTTAGTGTGAAATTAGGGATATTCTAAATGCAAAAGTATATTCGTCCCCATCCAAGAGTATGCAGTTTTAATATTAACCCTACAATCTAAGACCATGGATTATATATGTCTGAATAAACATTAATTTAGGAACCAGCATCTCTGCAATGAGCAGTTTAAAGTAGGTAGAACTTGCTCAATTGCCACCTCCCAGCTGTGGTGGAGACTAGCAGGCCCTTACAGTAAGTTTGGAAAAGCATGTTTTGTGGACCAAAAAGCACAGGGCTGAAAGCTACCAGTCCTCTGTTCCCTGGGAATACAGGTGGAAGGTGACACTTAAAAACCTTCAGTCTGAATGCACACATTTGCAAGTTTTTAAAAGTCACGAATTTACAAAATCCATATTGAGCTGGCTCAGGGTCACAAAAAATATGCAAGCATTTGAGTTCTCCAGATCACATAGTGAGGCAAGATGTTACAAAATAATAGCAGTAGCAGAAATTCCTCCCACTTTCCCTGCAGTTGTCATTCTGGAAAGAACAATCCATCTCCAGGGCCCAAATCCAGATGTCATTCTTAGTGTAGCAATGGCTAATTCAAACCTCTTTGCTTACAGTGGGTCTTCTCTAAGTATCCCATCCTGATCGAAATCAGGATCCCCTTCCAGACATTTGGTGAAGAACTTGTGTAGGCCTCCCACGATCGGGAGGTATCCTGATTTCTAGTCAGGAAGCATCCATTACCATACTGAAGTTTTCTCTTGTCTTCAGGGCTCAGCTGATTCCTACACCAGCCGCCCTTCGTTGGACTCCGACGTGTCGCTTGAGGAGGAGCGTGAAGGTGTGAAGCGCGAAGTGGAGAACCAGGCCCAGCAGCAACTTGAGAAGGCCAAGGTACCTGGTGGGGAGGGTGCAGCCTGTGCTTGGCCAGGGCAGAGAGAAGACCATCTTGGTGAGGAGTTTCCCCTTTGAAATGACTTGGTCCCTGGTAGCCTTAATCAGGGTATGGTAAACAAAAAACCCTGGTATTAAACTTTATAAAAATGTAGAGGGAGACAAAGCAAAGACATGTTGTGTACCTCACATTTTCAAGGCACTCTTTCCTATTATGGAGCCAAAAGGATTCCATCCATGCTCAAAAAAGAGGTTGTCAGGTTCAAGAGATCCCCTCCCCCAGAAATACAGAGGGTTTTTTTTTTTTTTTTTGCAGAAATACAATCATACCTGGAAAGAAAAAAGGAAGGGGTGAAACTGAAATCAGCTAAATGAGGACTAAGCATGCTCAATGGGCACAGATACAAAAGTTCTCTTCAGGCTTTACAACAAATGGTGAAACTCTTCCTGTGAATCGAGAGGGGGCATTCCAAGTAGTCTCATGCCCTGGCATGAAGCCTGTGAGCAGGGCCGTGTTTTGATGGGATGTGGGGCAGCACTACTTGGCACATCTTTCCCCAGCCCTCTTGCTGAGTTTCCCAATTTATCACAGTGCCTGAGGAGGGCTTGACACAGTCACAAAGGAAAAAGTTGAAGAGGAATGGAATAGCGAGAATCCTGAACTTCACACTACACTGATAACAAAACACATTTCTTTGTTATCTATTGGGCATTCTGGAAAGGACGGCTTCCGATGCCTCACTGGGCATAGTTAGGAGAATGGAATTACAGCCCCCCCACCTAAATAATGCACTCAAAATGTTCCAATCATGTGATTCCATTATAGCTAGATAAGGCAGATTGGTTGTTCTTCAGCCACTTACCGAATGGTACCAGGTGTTCTAGATTCTGGGGAAGGGAGCAATATTGGCTTTCCACTTACTGGTTTCCATGGTTGCAGCCTCTTCTTCTTTCTCTTCACTTTAATCTATTCAAAACATGAATGGCCACTCACAAATGCAGGAAGGGGAACGTCTACTCTTAGATGCGGGAGGGGGCACAGCTACTGCGCATGGTCTGTGTGCAAAGCTTAAGACCAGATGACGAGCCAAACCAGGCTTTCATGGCAGACACACGTAACACTCTCGTGTTTGCTTGTTTTTGTTTCATTTAAGCAGCATTGTAAGGTTGTGTAGACCTTTCGCTTCCCATCATTTTATCAGTCCAAATCCCCCTTGCAGCTTTTTCTCCTGTGAGGAAAAATGAGAGATTATTGTAGCATTAAACTTCGCCTTGAGCACCATTCATCTGCATACACATACTGCGTGACTTACGATCTATGGGTAATTGAATAGCTTATGGTGCCATCCTGTATGTGCCTCCTGAGAAGTCAGGCCTGTGGACCCAAAGGGACTTACTTCCAGGTGCACGCAGACCTGCTGCATTAGAGTCCAAACCACAGTGCAGATAGCTCTTGATTGGACTCTTGCTACTGCTATGACTCCAGTAGGTGAATAGCACCCCAAAACACACACATACACTCACCTCTGCTTTACAGTGTGGGTGCTAAGGATGATCTATCTTACGGGGCTGCTGTAAGAATAATCTACAGGATGCTTTCAGCTTCGAGCCATGAGAATGATGGATGATTACTCTAGTGTGTTTCTTCTGGAGTGGGACATGCCAAAGCCACAGCTGACCTGGTATTGACAGTGCCCCGTTTCCTTTCCCCCTTCAGCACAAGCCAGTTGCCTTTGCAGTCCGTACCAATGTCAGCTACTGTGGAGCATTGGATGAGGAATGCCCTGTTCAAGAATCTGCCATCAATTTTGAAGCCAAAGACTTCTTGCACATCAAAGAGGTGAGGCATGGCTGAGGCTGGGGTAGGGAGAAGCAGCTTGCATTTCTAGGGACTCTGTTTCTGGGGGCTGAGCAAAGTCTGCATGGCCAGCAGGGTGTGGGAGGTGTCGGGGATGCATGGGAGGGAGAAAGGAAGTAAGAGCCCGTGGCAGTGACAAAAGTACGATCCAGCACTGCTGCTTTCCATGAAGTGTGTAACCTGCTTTTTCATGGAGGCTTCTGTTTCCTTTGTGAGAGAAAGACTGGCTTTTTTCCTGGGGGTTTTACTTTCTCTGCTTTCCTATACTTCGTATTCCACAACAACAAGATGGAGTTGTGGTATAGCACAAGTCTTTATTCCACTTCGTTGCATCTTTAACATGTATTACCACATTCTCCTTGCTCTAAAATCCTTAAGAAATGGCCACAAGATGAGCGGGAGGGCTTGGAGGATTACAACATTGTGTGAAGAGCCTGCCAGTTTCTGTGGGTGAAGGAACAGGAGGGCACAAGAAATGCCTCCAATGGAGAGACCCTTAGGGTGCAATCCATGGCTTTCTGGGCATGCAGGGAGTTATAGGCTTTTTTTCTGTCTAAACATGCAGAAAAGGTTTGAACTGTTAATGAGCAGAGGGACAGCTTCCTTCTTTCTCCTGTATGTGGTAAGAAAGGTTATTTAAAGCATCCAGGTGTCCTCCTGCCTTGCCCTACAGTGCAGGTGTAAAAGTGAGGTGGGAACCCAGGTGGGGAACCCAGTGTGTGACCCTCTGCCATGCTGTCTCTGCAGAAGTACAGCAATGACTGGTGGATCGGGAGGCTAGTGAAGGAGGGGGGAGACATCGCCTTCATCCCCAGCCCACAGCGGCTGGAGGCCATCCGGTTGAAGCAGGAGCAGAAAGCCAGGTACGAGGTGTCAAAGTGGGAAGGGACAGAACTGTGACTCAGTCATCCATGTCAGCAAGAGAATGGTTGCCTGTGGTGGGGGGCTGGTTGTACATTTGGAAGCATGCTCTGCTGTACCTGAGCTTTTTGCTAGCTAAACGCAGTCTGCCGCATGCTTTCATTGTGCCTGTTCAGTGACTCTGGTGCTAATATTAAGGCTGGCATCAATGAATAGTGACATAGGAAGCCAGTATTCATACTATGCACCACCCCTGCTAAGCAGCACTGGATCTTATTCTCTGAATAGAGATGAACTTGGGGAGAGAAGGCTCTTGAATCTTCCAAGCTTTGCCTTCCTGTTGGATACAGATACAGATTCGCAAGCTTCTCGTTATGTAATTACAATGACTTTTTCTTTCCTGTCAACTAGGCAATCTGGCAATCCTGCCACCAGCAGCCGGCGATCGCCTCCCCCATCTCTAGGTAAAGATATAATGGAGTTTGGTGTTTGCCATGATTCCATCGGAGTGCAGAATGTGGTACTGGGTGCAAAATGGAACTTGCTGAGCATCTCAGCTTTTATTCAAACAAGGCAACAGACGTTTCTGGCTCAGTGGATGCAGAATGTCAGGCTTGGGGGCCCAAATCTGGCCTGCTTTGGGTTGCACACAGGCCGCCTGGGTAACCCCAAATGACCCCCCAAAGGGGTAACCCCCTTTCCCCTAACTGCTGGTGGTTGAGTGATTTCCTGTCTTCTATGTCTTTCCCCCCCATTCTACAAAGTTGGAATGCCTCTCCAAGACTTAGTTCCTGGTAGTGAGAGGTTTAAAAGCCAAAATATGTTGGTATATTTGGCTCAGCTGTCATTGGCCCCCAGCCCCACCCACCCACCCACCCACCCTGGAATGTAGCCCTGGAGAGCTATTCTGAGGTGGAATTGGACCTTGGGGCTGACAGAAGCTCAGCAGCTCCATTCTAGCCTTTATGGCCACAACACAATGCCTGAAAGCGTGTGGACAGTGTCTGGTGAAATCTTAGCATGTATCCATACAGCAAAGCACACAGTCCTCGCACAATTTGGCAAATGATATGCCAGTATACCTTACAGACCAATTTTGCAGCTAAGCTGCCATGGTTTGTGCAGGATTTAGTGTTCACACATTAATGGGATGGGATCTGACTCCCCCCACCACTTGTTTTTCCTATCTGGGAGCACTGTTTGCTCAAATATGAAATAATTCACACCCCAAACTAGAAAAGTCACAGACTCCCTTATCCAAATGTGGATGCTGAGGGGGAGATTGGGGAGGGAGCTCTTGTTTTTCTTTTTGTTTTGATGGAGGGCGCAGCTTTAGCTTGTTACTCAGTTTGACTGATTCCTTGTTTGGCCTGTTTGAGCCACTCATAATATCCAGAGGGGCCATCGCTGCTGCCAATGTCTACTGAACTATAAGGCCTCTATATTTTTTGCACTGGAGCAGGGAGATGCCTGACTGGAGTAGTGAGGGACACCCCTTCAAGCCCAAAAGGGTTTGCACCAACTCTGCAACTTGACTGAGAGGACTTAGACATTGGAGAGCCAGTGTGGTGTCATGGTGGGAGTGTTGTCCTGGATATTGGGGAGACCCTGGTTCTAGTCCCCACTCAGCCATAAAGCTCACTGGGTGACTTTGGGCCAGTCACAAACCCTCAGTCTAACCTACCTCACAGGGTTGTTGTTGTGATGGAGAGGATTATGTAAGACAGGCCATACATACATACATACATATATACATACATACATACATACATACATACATACATACATACTTGGGGTGAGATAACGTTATTTCAGATGCAATCCTGTGGATGCTCAGACAGAAAAAACATCCTACCATTCATGAAGTTCTCTTGCTTATGGATCACTTGCATCTTTATCCTTTCAGTCCTGTGCCCAGCCATGTTGCTGCCCTCCATTTGTTATGGGGGATTCTAGGAAGTGTAGTCGCAGAGTCACAAAGAGATGAAAAGATGGGGAGGTAGAGCCAGTTATCCTCAGTCAGCTTGTTTCCTGTCACTTTCTCCACGCAGGGCATGACTTGCACTCAGTCAGATCTGAAGTTTTGTACATGCACTCAATGGGAAAAAAATGAGAGGTGCTAAAGCTTGATCCAAGCTGTACCTCCTGACTTGCTAGAGCCTAGAAGGCTTGTTTTTTCCAGTGAATTTAGCATTTCCTGTTTATATTCCTTTTCTCCTTCCAAAAGGCTATGCATGGAGTACTAAGACTGGTTTGCCCTCCATATTTTCTTTAAAATCTTCAGGGCAGCACCGCAATTGACAGGGCTTGCATGTTTCTTCCCGTTTCACCTCTGCTCTTGCCCACTGCCCTTGAGAGAGAGCGGGGGTGGGGGGGAGACTAAGTATTCATTGCTGTTGGAAACAGCTGGATAGGCCAAGTTAGAATTGCATGTATCAGCCCCAATGCGGGGTGGGGGGGTGGGGGGAGGACCCCATAAAGTGCCTTGGGTGCCTCTTAGAAGGAAAAAAGGTGGCATATAAATGCAGTAGAACTCCTTCCAGCACCAGGCAAAGACCTTTTTATTTTCCCAATAGTTCAATGGTTGAGCAAAAAATAATGGTATTTATTTGATTTTTCTTGCTACTGTGCCTCAGTTTGACTGAACTGTGGTCATCGTGTGGTTTTATTGTGGGCCTTTCTGTGTTTTATTCTTTTACTGTAGCATATGTTTAATGTATTACTGTTTTGTTATTGTTGTTTTTATGTTCTGTAATTTGTAAGAGAGTCATCCTGACTAATGGGCAGGATAGAAATTTAATTAATAAATAAATACAACATTGTATGGGCTGCTCCTCCATTCCAAGCCAGACACAAGCATGTTTGTTCATACTGGCTGGAAAGGATTTTGCTGCATGTGATTAGAAGCTGAAAAGGACACAGAGAAAGAATTTTTCACTAAATTGGTACAACATTGTGTGGGGGGCGAGGGCAGGGGCAGGATGAGACAGAGATGCATTTGTGCGAGAGGAATGTCTGTCTGGATCCTCATGAAGAACATGAGATGTGTGCCTAGTATCCCCCTCTGGACAGAAAGGTTTGTATGGTGCACCCCTAGGACTCACTGGGGCAGCTAAGGAAGCTCTCCAGTAGCCAATGGCTAGGGTTACCAGTGCCCAGCATGAGTTGCCCTTTGTCTTTGCTAGCACAGCTGTAGTCAACCATGTGAAGTAGCAAAGATTGCAGAACTGATTATGCCAAATAAGAGAGATCATTCGAATTTGGGCACAAGATTTTGCTAGCCTTTGATACAGACTTTGCATTTTGTGGCTGGAGTGTCTGCAGTGTCTTTAGTCTTGAATGTATCTTGTCCTGCTCTGGGCATAAGCCATGGCTTTTGCTGCTGAGACTGAAGCTGCCCCCACAAATGAGGCTCAGCAATGAACTGGAAGCCGCTTCCAGCCCCCTAATTGTACCGCATCTCCAAGGAGTCAGAGTGCCTCTGTTGCAGCACCTGATCCTTCTTGCCATCTTCCCCGTGTTCTGGTTCCTGACTGTTGACCACGCTGTGTTTTCTTTCTTTTCTTACAAGCCAAACAGAAGCAAAAACAGGTAAGGGCTTAATGCTGGGATTGCACTCTTGGATGCTGTGGAGAGTTATACTATAATCAATAGCAGAGTGAAAGCGATTTATCAGGAGATTGGGGTGGACACGGAGGCCTTGATATTTGGGGTTGTGGTGGCAGTTGAGGCCTAGAGAGCCTCAGCTTTGGCATCGCTGTGTTTGCTTTTGAAACTCTGAAAAAACAGGAGCAGCCACTTTTGTGTGATGCACCGCTTCCTTTTCCAGACAGAGCACATCCCCCCATACGATGTGGTGCCCTCCATGCGGCCAGTGGTGCTGGTGGGACCCTCACTGAAAGGATATGAGGTATAGAAACCATGAAGATGCAGAATGCTACCTTAAAGCCCCAGTCCCCAATGTCATGCTACTGGGCTGTAGCAGTCACCCGATGGGCACCAGCATGAAACCCATCGCCATCCTTTTGTTCCTTCCAGGTGACAGACATGATGCAGAAAGCTCTCTTTGACTTCCTCAAGCACAGATTTGATGGGAGGTAAGACACCCTTCTTTTGAGAGCTGTCTGTCCATCCTGACCGATCCATTCTGTTCCCATGTTCCAAGGGAGGGGGAGGTCATATGCTGGCTGCTCCTTAGCTCTAGTACCTGCAGATGTGCAGTCAAACTGAGAAATGAGAAGGAGCAGGGTCAGGAATTATTTGCTAGCCTAGACCTCAAATTTGGGCCCAAGATGCAATTGGGTCATCTAGATTTTCTAATACCTTTCCCTATTCAAAACAACTAGCATGGGAAGTGAAATATTTATCTGCGCTTGTTTGGCTCACCTGTGCTTTGCTCAGCTTTTGTAGCCCTGTGTTTTCAGACAATGAAAACCAATGTTTTGGGAAGATGGTGCAAGGAAAGTTCTGGGGAAGAGTACTTCCATATCTGAGGATGCCAGATGGTGGATGGCAGCAAGCAGCACAAGTTATGCTGTAAACCATATGATAGGTCATTCTGAAGAAAGGTTCAGAGTTGGTAGCTACTCAAAGTGACGTGGCTAAAATCACATCTCTGCTCTCCAGGACAGTTGAACCAGTCTGATGCAACCAAACTTGTGAGGAATGCGTCCTGACTCAGGCAAAACTAGGAGTTCCTTGAGCCTGCCTGTAGATTGTAAATGTTGGATTTGTTTGGCTCCAGATTTCTTCTTGGCCTAGAAGCTGTGACCAGTTGTGTAATTCACATGATTTGGATGAGCTGCTTGTCCTCTTGCCTTGCAGAATCTCCATCACGCGTGTCACGGCTGACCTGTCACTGGCCAAGCGCTCGGTGCTTAACAACCCAGGCAAGCGGGTCATCATTGAGCGGTCCATCACCCGGTCCAGCATTGGTGAGTCCCGTCAAGCCCCTGGACCGGGGAGGCAGGCAGTTTGCCTGGCATGGTTATGTTGCTCCTCTTCCTAGCATGGCATTTCCCACCCTGCCACATTTCCAGATGTCTTCTCCTTCAACTCTCATCAGCCCCAATTCCAGCTGTTGTGGCCAATGGCCTGGAATGCTGGGAGTCGCAGTCCCAAACCGCTGGGAGGCACCCAGTTGCAGAAAACTTTTCCTATCTTGCTGGTGTGGAGCTCCCAGGCCTACTTCCAGATGGAGAGATCCTTGCGCGGCCAAACAAGCCTTTTGAGGATAAAGACCCAGTCATAATTGTAGTAGGCTTCCCGGACTTTTTATGCATCTTCTTATGCATACACCCTGCCACTTTCCATCCACACCAGTGTAACAAGACCGGCCACATGAGCAGGGAAAGGATAAATGAAACGGTCCACCTGCTCCCTTTTACCCTAGTGCACTCGCAGCTTTGCTGCTTTAAAACAAGCACACGTCGTCGGTTAAGCCGGGATCCTTTCCCTTCTCATATGGCATGCTGCTTGGGTTGGCTGGACTGAACTGCAGTTTCCTCCCTGCCTGGGTCAAATACTGAAATAAGGTGTCCATATTTCCCTCACAGAGAACTGTCCTCTGTTTGAAGGTATGATAAAAGACCATCCGTACTTAGTGCTGAACAGCTGACTAAGCAGGAAGGCACGCAGGTCACTCGGTCACTCTAGGACAAGATGTCCTTCTCTTTCAATGATAATAGTCCATTCTGACTTTGATTCCGTAGCTGTAGATTAGCACAGGAGTTCATTTGCAAATGCGTGCTTTCATTTTGAAGATGCACGTCTTTTTTCTGGACAACATGGAAGTGACCTCCTTGTACTGAATGTAAGCTGGAAAGGAGACCATTGTAGGTTAAAATAAGCTTTCCCACCTTCTTTACGAGCTGGAGCTTCCTTGCGTCAGCTAGGGTTTTATCCTAAAGCATGGGATGGGGAATATGTGACCCTCCAGATGTTGCTGAACGGCCGCTCCCATCAGCACTAGCCAGCAGCGCCAATGGAGAGCTATAGCACAACAGGGCCTGAGGAGCCAGGAGTCCCATCCGTGCTCTAAAGAAATCTCAGAGCAAGGCAAAGACCCGGCTGGATTCCTGCCCACCCTGCCCTACTTCTCAGAACAACACATTTGAAGCAGTAGAGCCCCATTTAGCTACCTTTTGCCTAAGGGCTTCTCTAAGGAGGCTTTTATTGTGCACTGTACTGCACAGGCATCCTTCCAAGCATTTCCATGGCTCTTTTTAGACTAAGGAAGGCCTGGTATTATCTGAAAATGGCAGAATGAACCACAATGAAAACATCTTGTATTTCTGCAGTATTCCTGTACTGTGGAATTGTGAATATGCAATGGAGCTTATAGAACAGCAGAAAGAAACCTCCTTGGAGCCAATCTTATTTCCACAAAAAATCCAGCGTAGAAGCCTCAGTAAAGTGGTGGGTTAAAACTCTCCCACAAAGAAACCCCTAATCCTACAGAATCTTAGTGCCAGACAGATGCAAAGCAGTGAGCAAACTCGCCCTTCCCTTTCTTAGGAGCCCAGTCTTGCAGCTTTAATATATGTGCTTTACAGTTTTGCATAATTCTGTTTCAACAGATCTGTGCTAACATGCATACATTTAAAACAACAAGCAAACTGCACAGTTGAATCCTGAGATTTTGCGACTTTCAGGGTTCCAAACAATGCATTCAGGGAGCAAAGTTTCAGTCAGTCAGCTGCCAATCATTGAAGTAACTGGTAAAGTCTTTTGTGAGAGCCAAAAGCAGGGGTTGCTTTACCAAATGCCTTTTTCTTATTTTAAAGAAGTAGCAAAAGGCAACATTCTTTAGGGGAGAGGGAAAGGGATTTGATGTGTTCCAGGATACAAAGTGGTTCTGCAACAAGAAATGCCTGGCAAGCAATGAGGGAACTCCCAACCTTCCCCAGGGAAAAGGTTCTCTCTCCTGGCTTCAATCCTACATTTTATTTATTTATTTAATTTACAGTTAATTAATTTTATTCTGATTAATGTTGTAAGCTGTCCAGAGATGGAAGTAATGGATGGCATACAGATTTTATAAATAAATAAATAAATACATACATTTATTTATTTGAGTAATATCCTACCATTTTCTTGTTTAAAGAACTCAAAGCAGCTTACATCATTCTCTTCCTCCTGCTCTTAGTCTTATCCCCTCAACGGTAACCCTGTGAGGTAGGCTGGGCTGAGAGTCTGTAACTGGCCCAAAGTCACCCAAAGAATGACTTTTGAAGAGATTGCACTGCAGTTCTGCTTTTTGCTCCTTTAATGAACTTTTTCTCATTAAGAAAGAAAGCCAGGAGAACTGAAAACATGAAAGAATTGCAAATCAATGATGATGTCATGCAGATACCCCCCCACCATGTGAGTGAATGAGCCACATTGATCCCACAATAAGTGCTTGTCTGGAAACAGCCCTGATCATGGTGTGGCAGAACTCAGTGGCAGCAAATTATAGATGGTCCAGCCATGCACTTGAGGCAAAATGAATAAGAGATGGGAAGAGGCTGACTGGAATTATATGGTGATTATGAGTATCTAATTTAGTAACATTATGTTATTTCACAATGTGGAGTTGGAAAGCAGGATCACTGATGCTAATGATTATTACTCTAGCCTCTTATTAACCTCCATAGCAATTGAACTTTTTGGAATTATTATGCCAAATAGAAATAACAGCAGTATGCATTTAAAGATAACTTACCCTCATTAGCATTTTAAAATCATGCTTTTATTGCTTTAGAGAGCTCCCATTGGCTACACATTAATCTAAATCCCTGGAGAGGATGGCTTAGCAAGAACCCTCACATGAATTGTAATCTGTGCAGGCCTCTTCCACTTTTAACAAATTGTTCTTTGTATTAATCTCTTTACTCAAACTACTTGGCTTTTCCGCCTGCATTGAAATTAAATTGCTTTCAGAGGTGCACTCTGAGAGGAGGCTCTTGTTGTTCTATGGAACTGATCCTGCCCCAGTGTAGGGGTGAGCTTACACAATCCATTTCTGTAGGACAAACTTTACTGATATGTGAAAAGTTCCTGAGATTCTTCTATGCACCATTTCACATGGGAGGGAGAAACAAGATGCAACCGTCAGTGAAATGTCTTGATGCTGCTAATGTGGTATCTGCACAGTTGCACAGATGGGAATGTGCTTGTGCAAGTCCCAGATGGAACGGAGAGGTATCGTGTGGGTATATTTCTCTATCACCTAAAGACGTAAAAAGAGCCCCGACAGATCAGGCCAAGCTCCATCTAGACCAGTCTTTTGTTCAAAAAGCTTTCCAGTCAGACCAGCTTTCCAGGGAAACCCACACGTGAGATGCAAGTGCAGCAGCCAGCCAGCCACCCATGTTCCCCAGCCGGTGGGGTACATAGGCATAATGCCTTTGATCCTGGCAAGTAGCATAAAGTGATCCAGAGTACTAGCCATTCATAGCCTTCTCCTCCATGAAGTTGTCTGATCTCCTTTTAAAACCACCCCAAGTTACAGCCATCACTACGTTCTGTGGCGATGACTTGAACCATATGCTGTGTGAAGGAGTTCTTCTGCTTATTCATCCTGAATTTCCCACCAATCAGCTTCGTGTCCTGTATTCTACTATTATAAGGGGGAGAAAAATGTTTCCCTCTGCATTTTTTCTGTGCCGTGCATAATTTTGTACACCTCCATTTGCTCTTTTTCCAAACTACACAATCCCAGCTGTTGTAACCTTTCCTCATGGTGGAGTTTGTCCAGCCCCTTGGTCCTCTTAGTGCCCTTTTCTGCATTTTTCTAATTTGATAATATCTGTTTAAGATTATTGTAATTACACCCTGGAAAGAACATATCTGTAAGAGCAAGAAACCATGAAAGATAAACAGTATTGCTTTTTTTCCACCTCACATTGACACAGCAGTGAAAAACTGAATCACATAAACTCACCTGAAACCTCTTGAACAGCAGCCTGGTCACTCTCCTTGAATGTACTGGCCGGCTTGAGTTTCTGCACTTCCTCCAGTAGTCAGTGCATTGTATCTATTTATATCCCATGTGTGCTGCCTCTAGGAAGCTTACAAGATTTCAGAAATGTTTCCTGTCTGTTTTCTAAGCACATAGTGAAGGGTAATAATTTTAGTGTTTTAGGTCAGTGTTTCAAGGGCTTTGCTACACAAGGTGAAGGTTGTTTACTTATGATAATTTGTGAGGGCTTCACACAAAGCACATCTTCCAGGGCTTCTCCCAGGTTTTGCAAGCATCCCCACAACTCTTTTTAAGAGCTAAGCAACTGCACTGTTGTCTAAAGTGGCAGGGTGAACTGAAAGGCTTGTAGGTTTTTGTTTTTTGCAGTCATAGAGTTGTAGAGTTGGAAGGGTCCAAGAAGATAATCAGGTCCAGCCAACCCCCTGCTGTTGCAGGACACCAATTTTCTTTCTCCTTGAATGTCTCTGGTGTGGGAGAGTGGAACCAGGCAACTGGTTCCACTGTCCTATTGCTCTGACAGTCAGGAAGCTTTTCCTGATATCTAGTCTGAACCTGGGTTGTTTCAACTCGAGTTGATTATTCCGTGTCCTACATTCTGGTATCAGCAAGAAGAGATCTTGACCTTCCTCTTTGTGACAGCCTTTGAGGCACTTATAGAGGGATACCGTGTCCCCGCTCAGTCTTCTCTTCTCAAGGCTAAGCGCACCCAGTTCTTTCAGTCTCTCCTCATAGTGTTTCCAAACCCTGGATCATTTGTGTTGCCCTCCTCTGGACCCTTTCTAGTTTTCTCACCTCTTTCTTAAACCTTGATGCCCAGAACGGGATACAGTATTCTGGATGAGGTCTGACTAGTGAAGAAGAGTATAGGGGCACTATTACTTCTTTGTGACTTGGAAGCAATACTTCTATTAATGCATCCTAAAGTAGTATTTGCCCTTTTTGCAGCTGCATCACATTGTTGGCTCTTTGTTGTTCACAATAACTCCAAGTGCTTTTTTTATCCTTTTTCAGTTCTGAGCCACCTATTTCCCATCTTGTATCCATGCATTTGGTTTCTTTTTTCTAGGTGGAGAACTTGGCATTTGAAATCCTTTTTGAATCTCATTCTGTTGCTTTCAGCCCAGCATTCAAGTTTATCAAGATTGCCCTGGATTTTCATTGTCTTCTAGGGTGTTCACTATCCCATCCAGTTTTGTATCATCTGCCAATTTGATTATTGTTCCTTGTACTTCCTCATCTAAATCATTAATGAAGATGATAAAGAGCTCTGAGCCCAGGAATGAACCCAGTGGCACCTCACTAGTTATTTTCCTCCACTTTGAGAAGGTGCCATTGATGAGCACTCTCTGTGTCTGATTTAATACCCAATTTTGGATCCTCCTAATAGTTTTTCTATCTAGCCCACCTTTTGCTATCAGGATGTCATGGTGCGTTGTCTTGAAAGCTTTGCTAAAGTTGTGGTAAATTATGCGCACAGTGTTCTGCCTGGCACAGTGCTGCCTCATTGTGTGATGGAATACATAGAAAGACAGACAAAGGCGCACACAGCCTGGAGGGGGAGACATGTGTAAAGAGCCAGTGTTAAGCCCACCCTATGATATTTAGACAGAAGCACAGGCGACAGCTCCCAGCATAGCTGGCTGGGGTGTGCTGGAGTTGCAGGCCTCTCTGCTGCTCAGACTTGAATAGGATTGTACCCTTACTGATTTACAGCAATTTTATCCTGCCCTTCTGCCAAAATTGGCTGCTGAAGTGACCACCCTCTACAAAGAGACATAGCACCAAAGGAGAGCAGATTGAAAAGGAAGAGATGGGGGAAAGCAACAGCAAGCATTAGCTCTTAGTTACAAAGTTCTCAGCAACCAGTCAGAATAGGAACAGTCCAAACAGAGGAGAAGCCAAAGGTTAGTGGGCCCCTCTGCTGAGCGGATGGAGCGGCTTGCTTTGCTTCCGTCCCTCTGTCACAGCTTGGTGGCCTGGCTGTTCCTGGACGACAGTGGAGGGAGAGGAAAAGCCTGGCTCCTCCGCAGAGGGCTCCTTTTCAGTCCCACCTGTGGTGCTCAAGTGCTCACTCTTCTTGGGGAATTTGGAGGCTCCCCAGCTGGGTGTGGACGGCAGGGAGGGAGGACTCTTGTTTCCTGTGTATGGCACCGGGAGGCACCCCATTCACTCCCTTTCTGCCTCCTTTGCAGCTGAAGTCCAGAGTGAGATTGAGCGCATCTTTGAGTTGGCCAAGTCGCTGCAGCTGGTGGTGTTGGATGCTGACACCATCAACCACCCCGCACAGCTGGCCAAGACCTCTCTGGCCCCCATCATTGTCTACGTCAAGGTCTCCTCCCCAAAGGTGAGTGGGGTGAGGGCTGCTCCCAGGCAGTGCTCTGGAGCCTGGCCTGTTCTGAATGCCCGTGTTTGAGTAAGCCACTGGCCCTTGTTGTTCTCTGCTCTTATGCCACCAGCGTTCTCAGAGAGCCCCGTGGTTCATAAACAGCAGCTCTGTGGGGTGTCGACAGTGCAGGGGCAGGGGAGGGCTGAAGCTGAGAGAAAGTGGCTTGCCTTGGGCCACCTTGCAAGAGGGACTTGCTGCTTCAGGCATGAGCCTCTTGCGATCAAGGTGCACGTTCTAGATCTGGGTGGGCAATTTGTGATTCTCCAGATGTTTTGCCGACAACCCCTGCCACTCCTCACCATTTACAGTCCAGCAACGTCTAGAAGGTCACATGCTTCCAGCCTTCTTTAGGGTACAGGCTTATACATTAGGAAGAGGGCCACAAGTTGCCAACAGGTGCCTTATGACTCTGGCTCTGCTTCCTTTTTGGCGAAAGGTGCTGCAGCGGCTTATCAAGTCCAGAGGGAAATCGCAGGTGAAGCATCTCAACGTGCAGATGATGGCAGCTGACAAGCTGGTGCAGTGTCCCCCGGTTAGTCTCGGAAAGGGCCGGGGCCCCCTCTGAGCCCTGCCTGGGTTTTCCCTCGCTTGCTTCTCTCAGAGAGCCCCTCTGCTTGATTGCGTTCTTTTGGTGGGGTGTCTTCTTGTAACACCACTCACTGGCAGGAGGACAAGAAACCTTCTGGCAGGTGCTGCTGCCATCCGTGGCTGTGCCCCCTCCTGAAATGTATGGCTGGGAGGCCCCATTATAGAGCGTTGTGCCTCTCAGCATGTCCAGGCTGCTTTTCCCACACCTCTGAGCAATTAGACCGTCCTGCCCTCACGTCCTCGGAACGAAGGAGCACCCTTCCAAGTGGGAATTCCCATGCAAGGCTGATCCGCAGCAAGTCCTTACAGAAACTAAGCACTGTTCTACCTCGTTTAATAAACAGTCTCAGGATACCGTCCCCACCCCACCCTGTCCATTTAAAAAAACATGCAGAGCTTATAGCTTAAGGCAGTAGCACCATAGCAGTGCTAGAAGTCATTCCCTATATCTGCTGACACATACCACGGAAACCCCCTATTGTGGCTTTGCAACATCTAGTAGCATTAACGCCCAGTGTCTGTTGATGCCACTGTTCTGTCACTGAGGAGCTGACCTCTTGCTCTTCCATCTTCCCATCTCACTCCATTTCTCAAGGAACTTTTTGATGTGATCCTGGATGAGAACCAGCTGGAGGATGCCTGTGAACACCTGGCAGAGTACCTGGAGGTGTACTGGCGAGCAACTCACCACCCTTCGCACACCATTGGCAGCCAGAACCTGGTGACACCGTCTACTGCCATTCCTGGCCTGCAGGTACAGAGGATATAGCAGTGGTCCTGCTGAATCAGACCAAGAGGCCCCTCTGGCCCTGCATCATGCCTCCAAGATATTTTGGGAAGCTCAAAAATGGGTTGCACAGGTCTGCTGGCCTTTCCCCAACATCTGGGACTTGGAGAAGTACTTCCCCTGCCACTTTACCATTGCATACCTGTTTCATCTGGAGATGGGGAACCTGTGGCTTCCCAGATGTTGGAATTCAATTCCCATGAGCTTCAACCAACATTTCCAGTGTCAGGAATGGTGGGCCATTGTTCCTCCAGACTCCAGCTAAATCTCTTGCAGGATCCTTAATCAGCTGCACCGACAGTCCTAAACAGTTAACATGTCAGGAGTGTGGAAAGACCTGTATATAGACAGATATTGGACTTATTTGCACTCATTTGGAGGCAAATTATGAGTTAATTACTTGTTAGGTTAATGGAGGGTTGTTTCGTCTTGAGTGTCTGGGTTTGGACATCACATAGCAACCTTCAGTCAAAGATTGCATATACAAAATTAACCCACAATTTCTTATGGTCCGTGTTGAGTATGTTCAACCACCATTTTGCAAATTCTACTTTCAGTAAGGCCAATTGGCAATTGTTGCAACGTCTAAACTTGAATACCGTAGGTTAATCATGGGTTAAGCAGCCCACAGTTTAACACTGAATTAATTAACCCATGATTGAGGCTATTATGTGTAGGCCAGTTCTTTGGGAGCTTAAGGAGGAAGAATCAGAGGCTTCTTTAAAGTGTGTGCCACCTCTTTCTTAATCATGTGTTTTTTAGAAAACCAACACCAAGCTCAAAACCATAGCTTTAAATTAGACTTCGCAATGAAGTGTTAGTGGGTTTGTACCTCTGTCCCTCAAAAATTTTCTAACACTTCTGCTCCAAATATCTGGAGAAAATAATTAGTGTCAAACCCTAAATCTCTTGGCTCCAGTCCAACCCAAATTAGTCACTGTACAGTACCAGTGAAATCTGTTCTGGGAGGTGGAGTGTAGGCCTGTGCTGGTTTACTCTCATTTAATCCAGTGGAGTTTATTGCCAGGTCAGCCTATGTAGGATTTCAGGCTTCATCACAAGCTCATTGTTTCAGTGGGATTAAGAGCAACCAGAAGTGCAATCCAGCACGGCTGCCCCTACAGGTTACAGACCTCCAACTGAGCACAGAGGCCAAGATTGCCTCTCAGCTCCCTTCATTCACAAAAATATTTAGGCAGCTGATTTTGGCCATGCATATGTTTTCCCCCTCCTCATGAGGAGGAGCTTAGGCCCTTCCTGAATTTGGTGGAAGCCAGCTGAGCTCACCCCTCCTCCCTACAGGGCCTGCCCAAAGACAGTCTTCCATCTTTAAGGCTGCAGCCAGTGTGGAAAGAACCACACTGGCTGAGAGGGTAAAGGCAGAGTGCCCACGGAGACTTTAGCCGGAGAGCAATTACTGGCCTGGCCATCGGATTGTACCCAAACTGTCATTGGGTTGAGGGTCCTGCAAACAATCATGTTGGCTGAGCAAGAACCAGGTGGCTGCTTGCTCGAGGGTGCTGCACCACTGGAAGCTTTGTCAGACGTGTGGCCTCTTTTCCTCCCCAGAATCAGGCCCCGCCGGGTGAACCTGGCAGCGAGCGCTCCCCGGTGGAGCACGACAGTTTGATGCAGTCCAACGAAGTGAGCGACGCCTCCCGCAAGACCTGGACGGCAGCGTCTCAGCGCAGCTCGCGGCACCTGGAGGACGAGTATTCGGATGCCTACACTGACCTGTACCAGCCTCATCGCAACCACAACAGCGGCCTCCACAGCACCAATGGCCACGACTCACAGGACCGCCTCCTGGAGCGTGAGTCTGAGCACAACCACAACGAGAGGAACTGGCAGCGCAACCGGCCCTGGGCCAAAGACAGCTACTGAGGCCTCCTGGCCAGGCACCTCCCGCCCCTGGGCCAGGCAGCTGGGGACACGGGACAAGGCTGCTGCCACCACCACCGCCTCCCAGACTGAGCCAGTTGCCTGCTAGCAAGCCTGCCTCTCTTTTCCTTCCTAGCTGAGCCCCACAGTATACAGGTCCTGCCCCCAGTATACAGGTGCTATCTATGGAACCCCAGACACCGCCACAGCTGCCTGAGTCTTACATCCAGGTTGGGAGAATTCTCTCGCCTGCCTTTGTTTTGGGTTCTAAGGGCCATCAGAACGTCCTTGCAGGGTAAATTCCATTGGAGCTTTGCATCTCAAATTCATTTTTTTGCAGGGAGAAAGGAGTGGGAGAATTGGGCTTATTCGTCTTCAGGAAAGATGCAGTATGCCAAAGGAGCTGGATGCTGTGGTCCTCTGTTTCTAGCTTGGGGAGAGCAGGGCTGGTGTATTAGGAGAAAGGAGAGTTGGCAGCCAGGAACATCCAGAAGTGGAATGGTAGAGTGCTTTTTGCCATGCCTTAAAGCAGGGGTGAAGAACCTCAGGCCCAGGAGCCAACTTTGGCCTCCCAGGGTTTTCCCTCATTGCCTCAACTCCTTTCCTCCAAACCAATAATCTGGTGATTTCCTGATTCTCTGCAGTTTTTTCCCCATTCTGAAAGGTCTGAAATGCCTCTTCTAAGGCTGAATGACTGGCAATGAGAGCATTCAGCTACACTAGGCTGAAATTTTTGGTATTTTGGCACCTTCTGTTTTGCACTGCCTACTACTGGAAGGTGGCTCCTCAGAGCTTCTCTCAAATTGTATGCCACCTTTGGGCTGAAAGAGGTTCAGTGCCCCTGCCATAAGGACTCAGTGTTAGTCCATGCTTTGTCATAACGAACACATAATGGAACCAATCACCTAGGGAGGTGGTGGGCTCTCCCCAACTAAAGGTATTCAAGATGCAGCTGGACAACCACCTGGGAGGGCCAGTTTAACCTGGAATCCTGCACTGAGCAAGGGGTTGGATCTGATGGCCTTCTTGGCTCCTTCCAACACTTTCATGATTCTACAAGGTTAGAACTGCCATGAGGACTCCATTGATCTGTGAGCCGATTCAAATGAAGAGCCAAAGTTGGTTGAAGCAATTACATGCAAGGTTTGGGGCACTGGTGAACATTTTGAGCAAGTGCTCTGATGCAGCATAGGAAATAAGCAGCATGATGAAGTTAGTGCGGCCCAGGGAAAACCTGTTTCAGGATGGGTTGGGTCAAATAGTTGAACACTTCCATATTGGAAACAAATTCCCTACCAATAGAAAAATAGCACAGCAAGGTTAGACTACACTGTCTCTCTGACATTGAGCTTTCTGTGTTCAGGGAGGACACAGAAATGATAACTTTTTATATGGAGGAACATTCAGCTATGTGATCCCCTTACTTGCAGTCAGAAGTCTGGAACAATCCAGAAACAGTTCTTCCATACTGTTTGGGTTAATGGGGACATTAGCCAAGATGAAATAGATGGGTGAAAAGTTGCTTGCTTCTCGTAACTTGTCTATGAAATGTCAAAGCATCCACCCACAAATCACAAGGCCGGAAGAGTTAACACCACAGTGACTTTTCCACTAGGTACTCTTCTGATGTGGATGGATGTGTTTGAACATTATTCACAGACCCTGCTTTGGCCAGGATGGGAGGGCATGTCCTTCACCCTGCAGGCAGAGTGAGAGAATGAAAGGAAAAGCAGGCGTGAGGCTGTGATTTCAGGCAGAGGGGAAGCAGGAGGGAAGGGGTTGTTTAATCATTTCCAAACTGCAATAACTTTTCTCCTGCTGGAATTCCAGACCCACAGGCTACACCTGGGAAACAAATTTAGGGAGGGAAAAGGATTAAGGACCCCTTCTCAATCTCCACTCAGTCACAATTCCATGAAACTGGGGAGCGCAGTAGATTTTGCCAGGGTGAAAAAAACCTTGAACAAATGAGCCATAAATTCCTTGGAGCTGCAGCCTGGGACTCGGCCCGAGTTTGATCCCTCTATTACCCTGTACAGCTTACAAGGACTCCTGTCTCAGTGCACAGCCAACCCCCCTCTGTTAGGGAGCTGGTGGAACATGTTCATAAAGCCACAGCATGAGAAGTTGAATTTATTATCCTCCACCTTCCCTGGACTTCTCTGCTAATTGCATGGGGCCTTGATCTTCCATATGTCCGTCAGCTGGGAGGGGGTGAAGAGGTGCTGGATAGCTGACAGCATTGCTACTTGACCATGTGCTCATTGTTGTCACCCTGGGACATGGTCTGAAGGAGGGCGGCATGGGCTAGAGCCATTTCTGCTTTCTCTCTAATGCACAACCCTCTCCTCAAGAGGCCCAGTTGCTTTTCCATCCCAACCGCTCCCCAGCACTTCAAACACTTCATGGGGCAGTGGATGGCAGCCCCCTGCCCCTAAAAAGAGCATGTACACCTATCAGAAATCAGCTTGTAAATACTGCGCACTACCACCGGGAGCTGTTTTGAGTGTCTTGTCATATATACCCTGGACTGCCTGGAACCAAGGGAAGCTGCTGCTTCTTTCCTGGCTTAGGCAGTTTCGGGGCAGGCAGGGAGATCTGGGTTCTGTCCCTGTGGTCACCATTCAGTCGGCCACAGCAACAGCTTTGTTACTATTCTTTTGTAGAGAGCACTTATTTCCCAGACAACTTGTAAGCAGTTTGAAAAAACAAGCACTTGCTGTTTATAGAATGTGGCTGGTCTGCCTTTATTTTGAAAACTGATGGGTCAAAGGGGCTAGCAGTTTAAACAGTAATGTGGTTGGGCTACACACAGAGACATGTCACTGGAACACCAACATGGTTACAGGGCCAGCTGCCCGTTATAGAAGTAGATGTGCTTGGGCAAGGGGCACTCCGGCCAGACCAAGTATTTTTCATCTCACACAGGAACTGAATGCCTGTTCCATCCACAGCCTTCAACTGACTTTGAAGCCGTTCACTTTCTTCTAGGAATTATGCTCTGAATGAGGACCTAAGGCTGTTCACCAAACTAAAATTCCCAAGTTTCCTTGAGGGACATTATGGGCCATTTCTTAAAATGAAGGTTACTGTACTTGAGATTGGAGAATGCTCACTTTACTGAAACACACATTTTATTAATAGCTATACTAAACCAGTTTGCAGTTTAGCATGACTGAGGAATCCGGCCTGAAGTCATACAAGGGAAACCAAACAAGTATAATTAGTTCCAGAGGTGCAGGACAAAGTTGCTTCAGGAAACTATATGGGCTTTGCACACCATGCCATTCAGTCTTTATGCAGAAGCAGGTTGACCACTGAGTTCAATGAGACAGACTAGACTCCATAGTTTACATGCTTTGGATAACAGCTTACTACCCTAAATGTCCTCATTCTTCCATTAACCCATGTCCTTATAGACACTCAAGCTTACTAGAAGAAAATCCACAATCATAGCCTTGGGACCTCTTGGGACCTTTATGTATCAAGTTATACAAATCGTGCATAGTTATTTCCAGTTAAGCATGAGAGAATACATTCTCAACTCATTCTGTGCTACTGAGCAGGCCAGCCAACTACAGACAAGCCACTATGAACCATGGAAAGCTATACAGTGCACACTGAAGTACAGCCGTGGCACTTGCGCCAATCACATCATTCACCACTGAGTGGCAAAATTCTTTTGAAGTTTCTTTTCACCTGGCATTTTTCACTACATACACCTTCTCATGTACAAAACACATGCCTCTTGCAGTGGTTGAAACTAGCTTGAGTGCAACTCAAAGGCTACTTGCTTGACAAAATGTACAGACGCAAGATACAAATCCTTTCCTCAGGGCAGCTACTGTATATTTTTACTTGCAGAACTGATACCAGAAAGCCAAGTGTCATCCATCTGTTAAGACAGTGATTTTTCCAAATCCAACCTACACTTTCTGCAATAAATGAGGGCGCACAGTGGCTAATGCAGGTGTCAAACTGGCCTGGGGAAGCATTCTTGGGTTAAGGCTGACATGCTGTCAGCTTTGGAAAGACACAGAAGGATTTCTGCACATAAGGATTTTCTTTAACAAAAATAAGTTTCAGCTTTATTCTATTGCCCCAATCACCACACTTCAAGCCCCATTTTGCTCCAACTACAGCTGCTGTTTCACATACCCACACTATAAAAAAAATCTGAATGATCCAAAAGGATCTAGTTTGCTTTTTGCTAATGGTCCCATGTGTGTCCTTTTTAAAGGCTGCTTTTCATTTGGAAAGCTTGATAGCAATACTTGCCATAGTAAAGGAAAATCAGTTTACCACAAACTACCATCTGAACTTGGTCCTCTTATTTCTGCTCAAAGGAAGCTGAGAGTGAAGAAAAACAGACAGACCTGAGCAACATTTCACATGGATTTATAGTAGCACAAAAACATCATTGAAAAAAATATCAGAATCTTTCTGTACATCACCTGCCCCTGTCTACTGAGGGGGGTGGCATTAGGGCTAGCCTCTGCATAAGACATGTTTTCTTCAGGAACCACTCTCCCTTTCATTATGACTCCTACTACCATGCTGAGCTGTAACAGTCTGCGACTGGAAAGAGGGTAACGTCCTCACTGAAAGAAGGCAAGAGTCTCAGCATTCCAACTGCAGTTCCCCAAACCTACATCTCGCACCAGACAGAGCCATACTCCAGGGTGCTGCTTGCTCATGGAACAGGCAGAAAAGCGAACATATAATGCTTCCCAACCATGTTCACAGCAGCATAAAGTCACCAAGTGTCAACAAATCAGCAAAGTGGGACTGCTGCTCACTGCTTAGCCTGGTTCAGCCTCACAACAAAAGGGGTAATAATTTTGCTTTGCAATCTAGATCAACATTGGGTCCAAGGAAAACAAAGACAGTAAATTTGGCTAGATCAGGATTCCCTGGATGACATTCCATCTTTTTTGGACTCAAGTCCCCATTGTATGCTTCTGAATTCTGTGCTGAGTGTTACATCAACAGCACAAGGGGTGTATCTACATTTGAAGAAAAAAAAATAACAAGCCTCTGCCATCATAAGGACTAAGCCCTGGGGACAGGAAGAGCCTCTTTGCATCAAGAGGCTCTCAGATCCAGGTAATGAAAGAAGGTGTTCTTGATCACAATTAGAGGGGGTGCCCATGAGTAGCTCCTCTCTGGACTCAGGCAAAGATAGTCTCTTCCCGTCGCTTTTTAGTAAGGATAGTTCCTGGCTTGTGCTGGGCATCAGGGTGGTTGGCCAGTTCTGGTGGGCAGGAAGAAACAGGACTCTCAAGAATAGCCTGCTTGAGGTCATAAAAGACAGCAGAGTCCTCTTTGGTGACAAAGGAAATAGCGACTCCGCTCTTGCCAGCACGTCCTGTTCGACCGATGCGGTGGATGTAATCTGCAAGCAAGAAAGCAATAGAGTGGTCAAGGCCTAGCTATTCTGGGGTATGATGGAGCCAGGGACTGAACAGGAACTCACATCCAGAAACACCGTCACCTCTGAGAAAGAACCAGGTCACCACTTAGCCAATAATAATCATGCATGAATACAAAGTTTCAGTGTTTGATACATTCACACTTCACATACATTTATTTCAGTAATCTAAGAATTCTGCATTAGTAATAATCAGCATTAGTCACTTTACTCTCCACATGGGGCCATGGAATGATGGCTTATTAACTGCCTAGCAAACTCTTAGCTGGGAGAAGATCTGAACTAGAGGCTTCCTGGCTCATGCACTTTGCCACCACACTTCCCCCACAATTAATGGACTGCTGAGGGAACCTCACTGCTGTGATTTAAAGGTGGCGACAGTTGCCCAGCCTTGCTGTTATCAGCATACACAACACATATGCGCCTCTTGATCAAGCATCACTTCAACCTGGTCTCACTGAGCAGCAAACACTGCCAAGACTATAGATGGGGTGACATGGTTCTGAGAACAGAGGCCTTTCCAGAATGTCTGGTCTCTAAGAAGAGGGAGAATCTTTGATAGCTCACCTTCTATGTTCTTTGCCATATCATAGTTCACCACCATGGACACATCCTGGATATCAATACCACGTCCAGCCACATCTGTGGCCACCAGAATGTCCTTGGCGCCAGCCTTCAAGTTGGACAAGGCAAACTCTCGCTGCTCCTGACCCTTGCCACCATGAAGGGTGCAAGCATTGTACTGCAGAGGTGGAGGAAGGAGGGGTGAAATAATGGGTTAAGCCAAGCCAGATGTTCATTTGGATGGAGGGGATAAACAGGCAGGAACTAGCTGCGATTCTCTTAAAGGATAAAGAGAGGTGTTCAAACAGGAGACAGCAGGGCAGAGTTCTCTATCATTACCAAATATTCCTACTGGTACACCAACACCAAGAGATGTTGATTACTTTGGGAGATGCTGCAAGGTAGAGATGGGGGGAAATACACAACAGCCAGACCAAGAATCGGCATGGAATCACTACTGCAGCAGTAAGGTTTCTAGCCAGCAGGAAAGCATCTTACCATAATTGTTTGTTTATATTGCAAACCGCCCCGAGGCATTTTGCAAATGGAGCAGCATAGAAATAGTTTAAAAAATAATAATAATAACTGCTGCTAGCTGAACAGAGATCTTGCTTTATTCTGGTCATTTAGTGTCAGAAACAGTGACAGGCAGAATGTACACATCGTCCCACACTAAGGCAAAGGGTGCAGGGACCTCACTTCTGGGACCCTTGATGCCACAGATGAAAGGCTGGTAAACCATCATATCTCTTGGATACACAGGTCTCCTACATTACAAGTGATTATAACTTACCCCCATCTTCTCCAGGGATTTGGCAAGTACATCACAGCCCTTCTTCTGGTTGACAAAGATGATGATGGGTGGGTCAAAGCCCTGCTCCAAAATAGCCAGCAGTTTCTTCCTGTGTAAGGAAAAGGAAAGAAGACAAGGAGTAAGAAGCCAGCTGGGGCAAGGCACTGGTGCCTGCAGATACCATCTGCTAAGCTGAAATTTTCTGTTGCGCCCCTGCCCTCCAGCCTAATGATACGTGTGTGTGTGTGTGTGTGTGTCTCACAGTCTGTGCCAAAGATGTTGTTCATCTCAACAACAGTGTTTGGAAACAGCCGTAACAACATCTAACATTCTGCCTGAAACATCCATCTGCCCACAGTGTTTGTTCAATAAGTCTACGAGGTGGGTTGAGTCAGATTGTGCTGAAAATATGTTGGCACCCTCCTGGGTGACCCATATGTCATGGCCCCTGTTGTGTATTGAACTGGCTAATCCAACACCATACAGTACATACAACACCAGGTTTCTCTTCATGCCTCTTAAGCCATGAGTATTTTCCTGGGTATTTCCCACATGGATTCTTCCCAATCCACCACCACGCCTGAAGGACATGGGAACCGTTTCATGGTTTGAGCCATAAGGGAAGAGAAGCCTAGCAGGCTTATTTGAGAGCCCTCACTAGTGATTACAGTGCAGAGGCCTTGGCTTGACCAAGGCTGTGCAGGCACAGGCGGGACTGCATGCGCACCAGCTATAAAGGACGCTTCAGATTGGGCGGGTTCTATTTTCTGAAAGCACAGCACACACGGCCCTGCCATAGACACAAGTCCACTTAGCCCAGTGTGCTTCAAGCTCTATGCCCACCACCCCATGAGGGCTCCAAGTAGGGTTGCAATGAAGCGCCATCGAATCCATCCCTCTTCAGTTTGCAGACATTCTCTTGTGTGTGGCTCTGACTCAGAAAACGAGTGAAGCCGAGAGGAAGTCCATGAATGCTTGTGGAACCCCAGCAGTGTCGCTGGCCATCTCCTTCCACGTCATGTGCAGCAGAAACAAAGGGTGTGAGACACATCCACAGAAGAAGGATGCCGCCTGTACAGGAGTCGCACGAGACTCGATACACCCCGAGTGCTGTGCAGAGGCTTGGTGCCCTCCCCAGGAAGCTGGGTTTACAGCAGAGAGAAAGCAGGCCAGAGTCTGGGGACCCAAACTCAGGGAATCTGACAGATTCCTCACACATCCCTACTCCCACGGCATTTCCTCCTTGGAAGGTGACAACCCAAGCTGCTGTCCTCCACCTCCCATACCAGTGATTACCTCTTTTCTGATTCTGACATGAGGAAGACCTTCTGCTCCACTCGCTCATGTGGCTTGCCAGCTGAGCCAATGTAAACCACAGCCGGGCGGCGCAAATAACTGCGGGCCAGCCGCTCTACAGCAGGTGGCATGGTGGCTGTGAACATCACAGTCTGTCGGGAAGCCACAGCCGGGGATTTGGAGGGGGGGGTGGAAAAGAGAGAGTGAATCATGAGTGCAAGGCAGATTTGCTTTCATCCCATAGCAGAACTCCCCCAATATCCCCCCATAAGTAAAAGATAGGAATAGATGTTTTTGAGTAACAATCTGCGGGGAATGTGTCAATTTTAATTAGTTGTGTTGGTAGTTATTTTAATCAAGACAGTTATGTCCAGTCATCACTAAATAGTCTCTGCGCTTAAACATGTTGCGTCTTAACCAGATGTACAGGAACCCAGTTTAGATCTGCTGAATCCTTCAATATTCATGGTCACATCATCCTAGTTCGTCATCTTTTCTGGCTGGTAAGCCTTAGAGCATTTTTTCTAGTGTGAAAATGGCCAACTTTAATTTGATATTTTCTCTGTTTTCTTTCCTCTCATTTAAAGTACACTTCGATCTGCCTTAACATAAGGTTCTAATTTTTTTAAGTGCTCAGCATTTTCCCCTTAATAAGACAGTCACTTAGACCAAAGCTTCTTGTTTACCTCCTCTTTTCATGATGACGAATGTGCTCACGATGAGCCCAGCTTCCTCAGAATCATTGCTTTCAGATATACAAACATCTTCCCCACATGCAGCCACTCCAAATTACCCCATCCACACAAACTTTCATATCAACTATCTAGCTCTCATGTAAATTTGAATATTTACATGCCAAGCAAAACAAACAAACTGATTTCTGCATTACGGGATGGAACCCACTGGTGGACCCGAACCCTGGCTCTTCACTTTTCAAAAGTTAAACACAGCAGACTTGACAGCAAAGCATCAAAGTGCCACCAACCTGCCGGTATTTGTGCTTGCCAGACTCGAAGTTGGCCAGCATCTTCTCAGGGTCCTCAGCCTCATCAGTATCAGGCTTCTGGTTAGTGACAGGCATGTGCTCCAGAATCTTCTGCACATCAGGCTCAAAGCCCATATCAATCATGCGATCAGCCTCATCCAACACCACGTAGGTGCAGCGGCTCAGCACGAGGTACCGATTTTCCAGCACATCAATGAGACGGCCAGGTGTAGCAATCACAATCTGCAGTGCAGAGACAGCAGCAGATTTAAGGAGGAAAAAAATATGATCTGCGCTAGCCCTCAGAGCTGCCTCTGAGTTATTTTTTTCATCCCATCCCCTGCAAGTGCACAGAATGATGCCATATTTCCCGGTGTTCAGTTCAGGCAGGGAAGCCAAACCAGGTGATAGTTGTAGGATATTAACCCAAGGCTATGATTTTTGGGGTGCACTTATCAATGTCCAAAAGGAGTATTTATGGTGGGGAGCCTCAAAGCTAAGCTCTCACCTCACAACCCATGCGCAGGCGGAAGCCTTGGTCCTCACGTGAGATGCCACCAATAACAGCCACTGTGCGGATGCCCAGAGGCTTTCCAAATTTGATGGTCTCTTCCTCAATCTGTTGGGCCAACTCACGGGTGGGGGCCAGGATGATGGCATAGGGGCCTTGATCCGACTCCTCAATCCTACAGTGAAGAAAAAGCATATTGAACCCTGGCAGAGTGTAGGAAACTGCTCCCTCTCTCTCTCTCTACAAGTTTTTACAGCAAAGACAGGTTCTCATTCTAAGAGCCCCCTGTCTTCCTACTGCTAGATAGGATGTGCAGCCTCTGTAATGGCTGTGCCACCAGAATTCATGACTTTAACTTGCTATGGAAAGTTAAACTAGTCGTATGTAGCTTATTTTCAAGTCTGCTCCTGTTTTAGATTCTTGAGTACTGAAAGGAAGGGCAGATTTACTGAAGGCCAGTTTAACAGAGAACTTCCTAGTTTGCCGATTCGGTAAAATTAATAGGCCCCAGCTGAACCAGGATTTCTAGCTCTCCTGGAGGCAATGATCGCCTCAAGGCATGCAGGACTTGAGATCCCCTCAAGTCTCTCAGAGCATCGCATTAGGGCACTGAGGAAACAAAGCCAGTCAGCCAGCTGTTGCAGTATAGTTCATCCTCAACATATTTTGTGTATTCTCCAGAAGCATCTTGGCTAACCACTGTTGAAAATGGCAGTGGTGACTAGATGGACTTTTGCCTAATGCAGCCAACAATGCCTAAATTTGAATCACACCATGGCCATAGCCCAGCTCACTATGAAGTAGAAACAGTTATTTTTCTGTGGGGAAGCCTTTCCCCCTCTCCTCCCCACTCCCTGTAGCACTGAAATATTTAGTGCAGCCTTCCCCAAACTGGTGGCCTTCAGAGGTACTTGGACCACAACTCCCAGAATCCCCATCCAGCAGGCCCCTGGCCGGGTATTCTGGGTGTTGCAGTCCAAATGTGTCTGGAAGGCACAAGGCTGGGGAAGGCTGCTTTAGTGCATGTCACGGTTTCTGCACCACATATTACTGGGACTTCACAGGATCAGGGGGCTTCATACAGGGTTAAACAGTCAGCGTATTACTTGATACGCTTGCACATATATTGGTCCCAAGTGGTACAGGACCAATCCCATTCTGTCAGCTGAACGCTTGTCTGCTGTTGGCATCAGTAAGACAATAACCCCGAAGAAGCAACTGTATGTGAAAATTTATTAGGTCTCAAGGCAACGAGGGCCACGGTCTTTACCTAGGTATGTCTGTCCAGTCCCAGGGACATTCAAATGTCTTTCTTCCTTTCTCTCGTCCCTATCTTATCTAAAGAATTCTTACACCGCCTTTGTTCTCCAAACATCACATCAGTGACAACCAAGCTGGACCACTATAATGCAATCAATGTGGGCCTGTCTTTAAAAATGCTTCAGAAACTTCAGCTGGTAAAGAATACAGCCACTCTAATGGCCTAAGTGGTCATTTCACATGACATCTATATCATGCAAAGTGTACTGGTTGTCAGTGCATTTCCAAGTCCAATTTAAAAGGCTGATTTAAATGGCCAAGGCAGAGTTAATCCCTGGGTCCTATTTGTCTGCCTGCAACGAACGCCCTTCTCAACTGCCTGATCTTGGTGGTATAAGGAAAAAGTCTTCTGCTGCAGAGAACCCACATCTCTGGATTCCACTACTGACTGAAGTCCAATTTTCACAGGCCTTCAGGAAAGCATGTAAGGCACTTGGTTTTCTTTGCCACTCCCTGCTCATTGTGCATGCATTTTAACAACACTCCTCATGCTCTGATTGCCAGTCTTTTTGGTTCTAGTGTTTTCAAGATGGGAACACCTTTCTTATTGTCACTGGCTTTTATTAATTCTAATCTGTGTTGGCTTAATCCTTTTACCTCATGAGCTGTTTTGAGAACAATTCTGAAACTAAAAAGGTAGCCTGATCTTTTGAACAAGTTACGTTACCAGCCACTTTCTCACCTATCGATCTTGGGCAGTGTGGTGATCCACACCAGCAGTGGGATGAGGAAGGCAGCAGTTTTACCACTGCCAGTTTCTGCCACACCAATGATGTCCCGGTTCTGCAAACCGATAGGGATGGCTTGACGTTGGATAGGCGTGGGTTCCTGTACAAAAGAGGGACAAAAGCTTTCAGAAGAGCTGAACCCCTTAGGAGGAATCATCCAAGCCAGGTCAAGGAGACAGCAACAAAACCAGGAACCCCAAATGTCAGTCAGCTCTGCTACAAAGTCCTAAACAACGTATCCTTCCAAGAAAGGGGATGAACTCCGGAAACCTGGGTTCTCAATCCTTCTCCCTCCCTGAGGGGGAAGCTAAATTACCTAGCATTTACAATAGACCAATACTTACAAAGGGTCTACTAGTACACTAAGTTACATAGATAAACAGAAAAGTTAATCAGCTATACCAAGTGGGCCGTTACTCACTTTGTAGCCACATTTGTCGATAACCTCCAGAATATGAGGAGGTAATGAGGAGTCTTTCCAAGAACGAATGGGATTGGGGATCTTGCCTCCCTTGGTGGTGATGCTGTAATCCTCCCGGAAAATACGCCAGTCTCTGTCTGTCATTTCATCCAGCTTCTTTTGAGACCAATGCCTATCATCCCAACGTTGCTTGGCCTCCTTTTTGCGCAACTTGCGCAAGCGTGCCCTGGGAAGGTGGGGAGCAAAGGGAAGGAAGCAGGGCTTGTGTCAGTCTGGATCAACTTTTCACATGGGTAGATGCTTCTCCCACATCTCAAAGAGAATGCTCCTTGCGACTTTACTTTATGCTGTTTTGTTACCTGGATAGCTCTAAAGGATTGTGCTTTTAAGATCCTGTCTACTGGAGGGCGAAAAGTCTGGGGAGGGGAGAGCCCTGCTACCAACATACAGTATCTAGTGTATTTGAAAGGTTTCTAGGAGTCTAAATGTTCACTTAAACCTCTCCAGTGAGGTGTCAGCTCTTATTGTTATAGAAATGTATCTGCTCAAAACTGTGGCATAAGGGATGTAGGTGAAGGTGCCCATATGCAAGAAAACCATCTATTCATTCTTTGTATTTTCTTGGTCCTCTCTTCATGATACCCATCTCTTCTCGAATTACCCCCCTTCTCCTGTGCTCATGTCTGGCCTGTGGGCTTCCCACTGGAGCATCTGGCTGACCACTGTGTGAACTGAATGCTGAACTAAATAGACCCGGCAAACTCTTGCTTAAGTTCTTCTAAAATTGCCAGTGTTTTCCTGGCAGACAAGCACCTTCTGCTTTTAACAGCTGCTTACAAGGCAGGAATTAAGCAGGTAAGAAGCCTTCCCAACACTTCATTTCTGTGCCAGGAAAAGCTGTACCTGTTTAATTTCCAGCTATTACACAGCTGTTAAAGACACAAAACCTGGACCACTATTTGTTCTTCTCTCCTGAGCAGAAAGATGGTAAGAACAAATAAACTCAAGCAAGCTATTATGACTTCTGTAGATATGAAATGAAACTAGCAGTTAATAAATCCAAAAGATAATTCAACTAAGCACATGCACTAAAGTAATCTTCATAATGTATTCATCACAGTGAGCTCTCAGTCTGGCTTCCCTGCTTAGGCAGTTTTGGTCTCTGATCTGTAGAAAAATGAGGTTCTGGTACAGAAAGCCTTCCTACCGCTGACTGACCGCCAACACCCATGTTCCAGAGAAACCTACACTACTCTAATGCAAGTCTTGGATCTCTCCTTGAGGATCCCAGCTTGAGCCTAGCAGCTCAGCCTGTCCCTCCTACCCAGCATACGACCTACTCTTCTTGCTCCTTCTCCTCCAGCGTACGTCGCTTCTCCATCAGGTCCCCATAGAACCGTGACTGCTCCCGCTTCTGCTGCTTCAAATCAATGCCAGCAATGAAGCCCCGGCCCAACAGCTGAACCTGATGTCGCTCCTTGTACCTGTGGGACACAACGCCAGATGGCCATTTTGCATCACAGACTGTATCAAGTAATCCCTCTAACACAGGATTTCATCAGAAGCTCCCAGAACCCAGAAAACCATAGGTCACGTGTTTGGGGAGTGGCAGGCTAGAGCAGAGAAGCAAGTTTCCAGCCCTCAAGCTATGGATAAAAAGCTAAGTGCACATAAGGCAGCATCAAATAAAGAAAGGTGCTCTCTTTTCTTTATTTGAATAAATAAAACACAGTGCTAATACATCCCTTACCAATATTGTATGAGTTCCTATAGACAGCTGCCTTATCTATCCCAGTGCTATTAATTCCAATGAAAGCAGTTCTTCAAGGTCTCCTGAAAGTTTTCCTCAGCTCCACTAGCCAAACCTCCCCTCCCTCTTTTAACTGGAAATCTCAGGCATCAAACCTGGGACCTCCTACATGCTAAGCACATGCTCTGCCACCATCAGATCATTCCCTGTGTTGTGATGCAGCAGGCCCCATCTGGGATCCTCCTGTCAAAGCAGTACTTACAAGGGGTTGTAGTCAATGGAAGTATCTTCTGAAGCATCCCACTCAAAGACAAATTTGCGGTCGTTCAGGTGCCGAGTACGTCTCCGCTTCTTGACCCCACCTAAGTACCGCTCCTGGGGAGGAAGGGGACACAATATTTATTCATGCAACTGATATTTTGTCACTCTTTCCCGATAGAAATATGAGGGCGCTAAGAGGAAAACTGCAGCTTATTTATAGCTTATTTTTGAGCTTTTTAAGCACTTCACACCACAACACTTTCAGTTAGGTCAGAATTATCATTCCTCCTATAGCTGACAGATGAACGAAAAGAATAGTGAGGTGACCAAGGCCAACTGGTGACCTGAATGCAATATGTCCCAGCTCACAGCTCAGATGCCTTGCCAATCTATTCGGTACTAGCTCTCAACCAGTGCTAAGTTTTCTCCTTTGAATTCATTTCTAGGCCACCATTTGCCCTCTTCTCCTACACTGTTTTCACCCTAGTTTTACAAACATGTTTAACCAGACTGGACCTTGGCAAGAGATCCGGGAAACAGCAAGTCTCAGCCTAGTTTTGCCACAGCAAAGCAGAACATTTTAAAGCCCAGTGTTGCAAACTTGAATCACATGTCCTAATGGCCCTATTCAGAGCTGGCCTCCTACTTTCTTCTGCAGGTGTGTATTGCAGATCTTCAGGAACCTCCACGGAAGGCTCACCATGGCGGCTTAGCCTTAAAACTACAAACAGAGCATAATAGATCAAATGGCACACACTATGGATCAATTCCCAGAGCTGCTGTTTAGGGGTGGGGTTGTTAAAATCAACGGATTTGGCACTGGTAGCATGCTGGGCTGATTTTGTGAAAACCCCAACTATATCATTATTTTCCTGGTATAATTATATATATCATTATTATGCAAGGCAAACTGATCTGGAACACTCACAGTTTTTTTAAAAAACCATGCTTGAACATATTAATTCTACTGAGAAAGCAAACTTGCACTGACTTTAACTCAGAAAATCCCTTGTGTGTCTGAGACCAGTTTTAAATCAATGTATATGCAAGATGCCATCTTGTCCCAGTCCCCTGGCCTAGCACATTGATCTCCATTGGGACACCTCTTTGAGACACCTCTTTTCTCCCCCCTGCTCTCAGAAAGCATTACTTTGATGGCATGTAGCTCTTTGCTCTTGTCTTTCTCTTCACGGATTTTCTGCCGCCCCTCCTCGTCTTCATTCCCATTAGTCTCTCGTTCCATGCGTTCTCTCCGCTCACGTCGCTCCCTCTCCTGGGGGTCTTCTGTGAGTATAGTAAATGGCAGATTATCGGGAGAGTCTGGCATCAGGATCAAGTAAGCTCAGGGGAAATTTTTCTTAATTAGCTTATACAGAATGTTGGAGCTGGGTATTTAGCCATACATCAGAGCGTCTAACCTAGCATTTTCCGTCCCATTTCTTGGAACTGCTTTCTCTTTTTCCTTTCTTCTTCCAGCAGCCGCTGCCGCTCCTCCACCTCCTGCTGCCGGCGCTTCAAGGCCTCGGCCTCTCGTTCTGCCTTGGAAAGGAATTTGGGCTGCAAGAAATCAGAGCAAGGTGATAAAAGTTTAAGAGAACTCGTATACCACACTAGCAAAAATGCTAAAAGGCCATGAATATTTGATAGTCCTTTTGCTACATTGGCAAGAAGCAGAACATCTTCTTAAATCGTACAGGAACCATTTATTCTGCCCAAGGCTTTTCGGAAATACAGTTCCTTCTTCAAAGGCTTCTTTCAAGAAAAGGGAAACAATGAGCCCTTCTGCGCCTGCCTTTCCTGAAACTTTTCAATCAGAAGAAGGAGCAGAAGGGTTCCTTGTTGCAGTTTTGTGGGAAGACAAAAGTCCTGAAGAACAAGCTGTATTTTTGAAATGTGTTGGGCAGCATAAAATGTTTCAGGCACTTTAAGGGTTATTTCTCTTCTGCATGACATCCAGTAACTTTCCTTTTTGTACACTGTATAATCTGATACGCACACTAGCTGTTCTCACATGGGCAAAGGTTAAATCAGCAGGTGGGAGCAGAGAAGAAAAGGGGGATGCCTCCATGCTCTCACCTTAGCTTCTGCCTCTTCTTCAGCTTTCTTCTTGGCAAGCAACTCCTCGAGAGAAAGTGGCTGGGCCTGTGAACAAAACAGGTACACATCATGGGCCATGCAAAGCAATCAAAAGACAGGAATTGCTGCTCTTAAAGCTGTAGGGCCTGCACATGAGGCTGTACAGGTGCAATGCAAGGCCATGACATTCCAAGACAATAAATTTGGATTGGCCTCTGAAGAACTGGTTTTTAAGCAGAATGGGTCAGTGAGAAGAGCTGTCCTTTCTGTTCATTATATAGGTACTGTAGATATACAGTAAAGAGAAACGAATAATAATAATAAAAAGGTACCGAAGACAATCCAAAATCTCCTAATTCAGCTGTGCTTTTTGTTCATGCTATCAAGAAATAAGCAACTGCCGAAGACCAGGAAGCTCCATGCAGTACCTTTTCCTTCTTCGACAATGAATCCTCCTCCTCATCTCTGCGCGAGTCCCTGTCCTTCCTAGATTTGTTCCGACTTGGAGAGGTGCTCCTGTTCAACAGGAAAGGGAAAAATCAAAAGTTAAGCAATGCTAGCCTCCCCAACTAAGGCATTCAACAACTTTGCCGGCCACTGGAGGCCAACCAAAAACGTGTGATTGTCAGACCCTTTCCACAGTGGTACAAATGTCCCTCTCTCTCATCCCATGCTGCACCTCCAAAATGCAGCACAAGACCAAGATAATGGCTTGCTCCCCTCTGCAACTTCAATCTTGGAGCCAGACAGAGGTGCACGCAGGATTGTTGCTAGAATTGCGGTGCAGCACAACAATGTGCTACGGTGTTCCTCTTCTCTTTAGAATGGGAGAGGTGCTTCAGAGCTGCTAGAGTCTAGAAGGCAGGTTGAGCCCAGGCTTCTTCTGAATCGGAACGTCTCTGCAGCTCCACAGCGCTCTGGGGGCACTCAAAGGACCTTGGCAGCCTTGCACAATTGCAGGGATGATCACCACTTGCTTCTCCAGCTCTAAAGCGGCAAGCTATCTGTTCCAGGTTTTGGTGAAAATAGGGGACTGATTATACATCAGAGTAAGTCTGACACCAAGACTAGATGAGATAGCCAGAGACAGGCTTGTAAGCTCTCAAGCAAGGACCACTTAGTAGACGACAGAAAAGAAATATTAATTCGGCAGGACAAAACTGATTTTCCCTGACTAGCAGTCTACTTCAGGATATTTTGCTGTGGCCAAGATCATTTACTCAAGAAATCCTCAGCCCCGGTCACAGGCGATCTTACTACATTTTAGCAGCAACTCAGATGTTGTGACTTGAACCCATTCTTTGTAACTGTCAAATTTCTTTATAGCTTAATATTTATATACCACCCATTCCCATAGGCTCTGGGCAGTATCTACATTAACCTCCGTCAATTTTAAATAGGCCCTTTCTGACATTCCAATAGAGTAACATATTTATTAAACAGATTAGGTTTTCTTCATGCCCCAGTCTCTCCCAAGGAGGTAGCAAATACCGTGTTTTGCCTTCATTATTCATGAAATAACACAGGTCTACAATAACTGGCATCTCAGAAGCAGCTGTGTGCAGACCAAATCCTCAAGGAGAACGGCACTTTACCTCGAACGTTTACGGTCCTTGTCCCTCCGGTGCCCATCTTTCTCACGATCCCGGTCCTTTTTGCTACGCTCCCGTTCTTTGTCTCGCTCTCTTTCTTTATACCGTCGTTCCCTACAAATAGATAGTTTGCATCTATTACAAATAGATAGGGCATTTTCACATACAGAATACATCAGCACAGTCTCCTAATATTATTATTATTATTATTATTATTATTATTATAACAACATTTCTATGCCGCCCCTTGCCGAAGCCTCGGGGCGGCTTACAACACAATAAAATACATTGAAATACAATAGAACATAATAAATTACCATTAAATACAAAAATACAAAAAATACATTGAGTTACAAACATAATAATATAAAATTAAAATTATCAGTATAAAATAAGTAAATAAATAATATAGGAGGAGAAAAGAGAAGGAAGAAGAAGTTGCCCTGGCCAGATCATATATTTTAACAATTAAAATGATGTTTAAATAAAAAGGTCTTTACCTGGCGCCGAAAAACCAGTAACGACGGTGCCAGGCGGACCTCTTTGGGGAGTGAATTCCGTAGGTTGGGCGCCACCGCAGAGAAAGCCCTCCTCCGAGTACTTACTCTCCTAATTTCTTTCATGGAGGGTTCCCGGAGAAGGGACTCTCCCGCAGATCTCAAAGGGCGGTCGGGCATATATGGACGTAAGCGCTCGTTCAGGTAGCCAGGACCCAAGCCATTTAGGGCTTTATAGGTCATAAATTCTAATGTCTAATACATTCTATTAGACAGTAGAAATTGAAGATACATTCACTGTACCTCAACTCAGTGGGTTTCATATACTGTTCAATCCAACCAAACTGAAAAACCATACGATGTACTCAAACCTGCCAAAGTGTACTTTGCGTAAAGGGTACAGTTGCTGTGTATTTGGCACACATAAGAATGGACAACAAATGCTTTCAGGATAGAGTGGATGTAAACTTCTGTGAGAATGACATGAAGTGCTGACATAAAAGTACATCTAGCATAAAAATGTATAGTGCAAGTATCTCTTTTCTTGTATTACAAAACCAAGCAACACTGCAAAGATTGGCTTGCAAATATGTAAGCAATGCCTAGCCAATGCTCAGGTAGAGAAGAGGGGGTCAGGACAGAGAAGCATTTATGGTGGTTGAGCTTCAACATCCTGTATTTGTTTGCTTGGTAATTCTGATATCCCTACAAGGTGGCTTACCTAATCCTCCTCTTTGTGTTTTACCCGTATAGTTTGATAACTTCCTCCCACCCTCACATAGCAGGAGTCATACATATTATAAAGATATATTGAGATCTTTTGAAGATGTATGTTTACATGTCTTATAATTCAAGCTCCCTCAGTGTAGAATGGAGTAACTTTGCATACAATTTTGATTTAAGAACCAACAGTATATACACAGCTCCAGCATAACAAAGGCACTACAAATTAGTATGTATATCACCGTATTTCTGTGGACACCTAATGGCAATGGATTGTCTGAAACGAGCTTAGTATGGTCTCAAAGTATTTGACAGTAGCTGCTGTGAGAATGGGATACTACCTCAAGTAAAGCAATGCTCTGGGTCAACCTGGCTATAGCTACTGTTACAAAACCTGGCAGAGCTAAATTGCTTAATCTGATGAACTGACTGAATCAAAGCATTCAAAACTACCTGTACCACCTGCAATACCAGCTGCTCAAAGCTGAATAAGGTGAGTCATGCCTATGGCAAACCATAGACTGTGAGGACATTTAGTGAAGTCTTACCTCTCAGTTGACTTGGACCGAGACCGGGATCTTGACCGACTACCTCTTCTCCTCTCACGAGAGCGGTGTCGCTTCCTCTCCTTAGCAGCAGGTGAACCTTTCCTATCACGTTCTCGATCACGTTCCCGGTCTGGTGAGCGTGAGCGTCTCCGCTCTTCTTTGATGGGTGAGGAATCTCGCTCTCTCTTTTCAACAGTCTCCCCAGCCATCTGGATTAGAACAGTGGTGTTAATATGTGGCATAAATAAATCTGAGGGGGATTAGCAGTCAAAGGTCTCTGGGCCAAATTTGGCCCCCAAACGTATGCCATCTACCCTCCTTCCAGTTATTCAGAAATTAAAAGAGGTTGACATCTCCTGAAAAAGACTGGCTGACAGGTTATTTTAGAGGCTTACAGCTTTGGAAAACTACTTTTTACTCCTTTCCCAACATGGCCCTAGTTATTGCCTACATGGGCTGTTCATTGACCTGTTACCTGATTCAATTTTAACCTGACAGGCCTATTCCTAGAAAACCATCAAAAGGCTCATTTATAAACATTTAAAAATGTCACATATATTTACATTAACAAATCAACTGTTTCAAGTTCATATACACTGATAGTGTTACACAATTATTTTCTTTCCATTGTGGGGGAAAAAGTACAAAATCTATGTATAGCACTTATGTGCAACGACAAGCAACTGAGTATATTTCACTGCATATCGGCATGATAAAAAGCCAGGGCTATCAGCACATCCCAGGCTCACATGCACGTTACTTGCATTTCTTTTACTAAATATACACGGATGAACCTGCTTTTGCATTTGATGATCTGCCTGTAAGTTCCATGAAAGTCAGTGTTGTGCAGTGGCAAGAGTGTCAGACTTGGAAATGGGAAATCTAGATTCAAATCTCCATTCAGCCATGAAGCTTGTTGAGTGACTTTGGCCAGTCATAATCTCTTTACCTAACTTATCACACAAATAGGTCATGAGGATAAAATTGGGGAGGGAGAGGAAAGAATAGTATACCACCTTGAATTTCTTGGAAGAAATAATAAAATAGATTTTTAATTTAAAAAATCCATGTAGTGCTTCGTGAGAGAGAATGAGAGAAAACAATCTTAGTAGTTCAAGGGTCTTAGATGCATGACTTTGTTATAATAAAAAAGTCAAATACGAATCTAATAAATAAATAAGAACAGCATATTCTTCCTGTGCAGCCAAGTGACAGGTCAAAGGCTTACCCTTCTCTCAAAATCAGGGGGAATGCCAGCAGCACTCTAGGATTGCCCAGTCCCTCACCCAATAAAACTGGAGGAAGAAGGATGCTTTATTTCAAGAAAACGAAATAACTGAGCTCTAGTCGAGTGGAAATCCCTATTCTCTGGATGCCCCTTCTTCCAAAGATCTCAATGCACAAGAGAGATTCTATGTAGTTACCTAATGAACGGAGAGAGACACTCTGCACTTCGTCTAGACCTACGCCATCTATTCCAGGGTTGTCTCTTGGCACCGAAAACAAAGTAAGCGCGCGTAGTAAGCTGCCTCCTCCGCTACTTCCCTAAGACTGTCGCCGACCACCTGAAACATCCAGAAACTCCTGGAAACACCTCTCTGCTTGTGGGTCGCCGGCAGTGCCAAAGCGGGGCAGGGAAAGAACGAGATGCGCCTCACCTGTAACGTTCCTCGACGTCCGAGGTAATTCACACAGCCTCTCCAACCGCCTCCATCTTAGTCGAGCTAATTCCGGTCACAACAGCGCCTTGCCGCACAGCATCACGGGAAAACAAGTCCATCCAACTAACCTACTTGCCTCACTATTCAGATCTAAGACTACAAGTCCCAAGAGATAACGCGAGCCGGGGGCAAGAAAAACCCAAGCGTCCCAGCATGCATCACGCCAAACTACGCGTCGTGGGCACCCGGATTGGCTCTCGCGGTAGTGGTGTGTGTCTAAGGGAAACTACAGCTCCCAGGGGCCTTGTACGACCAGAGCCGAGGAAGAGCGCAGCCTGCTGGCGCACTTGGAGTAAAGGAAATGTTCGAGGAGAGCATGACTGGCCTTCCAGAGACCCCCCGCGCGGGGAAATCCCGTGGGAGGTTTGCTGAATGAATCCCCAGAAGGAGTTGTGTCCAGCACTGACATTTCGGCTCACATAAATTCGGCCATTCCTCTTTCCCCCATGAAAAACCAGCCCCTAATACGGTAAATTGAAATCCTCGCGTTAGCCACTTGTAAGCTTTGGTTTCAGCATGTTCTTAGCTATACTTGAAATAGATTCGATGGATCAGAGCGAGCAGCATAAAAATGTTTTGAATGATCAGCCGGCTTGTTTCAGGTCTTGAAGATGCAACATTGCTTGGGGATTCCGGTAAAGCAAAACTTAGAAATGCCGTTGCGACTTGCTAGGCGTTAGAGGGCGCTTGGACTCTATAACAAAATCGTTTGCAGATGTGGCTACAAGTTTTATTTTATTTAATATTTGCTTATTCAAAGTATTTATACTCTGCCTTTAAGCTCGAAGAATTCACAACATGACTTTCAGGATGAATCACAACACTAGCCACAATAATTGTAAGACGTTACAAATTTTTACTAAAATATGGAGTCAGAAGCCAGACAAAAAAATTTTGATCAGCCATAAAAATTAGGTTATCTAGAAAATATGAGAACTTGTGTTTAGAATATTTTAATAGTGCAATTCTGTATGTGTCTACTCAGAGAAGAGTCTCATTCAATGGAGCGTTCTTACAAAGAAGGTTGGTCTGCACATATTAACTATCGCTTGCTAACCATACTTAAATGAAAAGAATTCAAAAGAAATTGTAACAGAACACAATGTTTTCTGAACCAGTTCCCATATGAATTTTAATTTCTCCAGCAGTCACAAATTGTAGTTTTGAATGCTGAGAAACTATTTTTCTGCAACTAATATATTCATGTGACAACAGCTGTTTAGATCCAGGGGAGCAACAGCTTAGCCACTTTTGTACATAGCCTGAGTAATATTGCAGGTGGCTTGACTGTGACTCCTGGTGGCTTTGGAGAGATCTGAATAGAAACAGGCCATGGCTTAATTCTGCCTGGAAGCCAAAACTTGTTACCTGGGAGCCCCACTTGCTAGCCACAGCTGTGTGTGGAATGGCAGAAATGTTCTGTCATGCATACTCCAGTGTAGCCTCCGATGACTCCTTCATACATATATGTGCACTCTGACAGCTAAACAAGAGTTGCCCCCACCCAATCTCATATTTTACGATTCTGACAAGGCCCCTAAAGAAAGCCCACTTCACATTGGTCCCATAGTGCTGGCCAAGGGCAACTCCAGCTCTGCTTCACAACTGTGGCAAGCCATGAGATTTGTTGTTGCTGTTATGTGTCATCAAGTCACCTCTGCCCTATGGCAGCCTTTTGAATGAAGCACTCCCCACCCGCCATGCCCTGTCCTTGGCAGCCCTGCTCAGCTCTTGTAAGCTCACTGCTGTGGCCTCCTTTATGGAACTGGCCCATCTCATCATTGGTTTTCTTTTTCTTCTGTCTTTGATTCCCCCAATACATCTATCTTCTCCAGTGTGTTTTGCTTTCTCCTGGTGTATACAAAGTATGAGAGCCTCACTTTGCTTGCTTAGGAAATTAGTGCAGTGGTCTGATAGTTGCTGCCCTCTTTTCCATCTCCTTTTTTGGGAATTGGAATGTGCCTCACCTATCAGTGGGCCATTGTTCTGTTTTCCATATTCTTGTTAGGATTTGGTCCAATTCTTCCTCATAGGATTTCTTTTTGAAGAAATCTGTCACCTTTTTATCTCTTCTGTATAGTTTTTCCATGTATTGTTTTCAACTTCTCTTTATTTTATCCTGCCCTGATAGGATGTTCCTCTGTAGGTCTTCTGGCCTTCCTAATCTATTTGCATTTCCCTTGGATCTTCTGGAAGAGCGCTCTCTCTCTCTCTCTCATTATTCTTTTCTATTTCTTTGCACTGGCCACTTTAATAGTACTTTTTAATCACTACATGATAGTTACTGAATTTTTTTCCAGTATAGATTTTGTCCCTATATTTATGTAACTTTTTGCTTTTGCTTCTTGACTGCCCTTAGCAATTGCGTTTCTTCTGTCATCTGTCTAGGCTTTTCCCTTTTGCTACAGGAAATGTCTTTTTTGCTAAAAATGCCTCTCCCTTCAAGCCGTTGTTCTTCTGGTTCATGGCCAATTAAATTCAGCAAGATTAATCTGTTATTTATGAGGACTTTAAATTCCTCAGGAATGTTCTTTAAGTTGTATTTTGACATTATGCTTCTGTTAGTTATCTTTTTCAGCTTGATTTTTTTACATCAATAGTTCATGGTCACTACTACAATCTGCTGGTGATCTTGTTTTGCCAATGAGAACACAGTTTCTTCATTTTCTACTTTATGTAGTCTACTTGATTTCTGTATAGCCTATCTGGTGATGTCCATGTATACTGTCTCAACTCATTGGGAGGTTGATGTATTTGCATAAACATATGAATTCTGTTGGCTCCACAGAATTCTATGAGTCATTCTTTTGCTATGTTTTGTACTGCTACACCAAATTTTTCCACAACATTTGATTCTGCTTCGTTTCCTAGTTTTGTGTTCCAGTCACCTAATAGTATCAGCAGGCCTTGTTTTACTGTGCTAACAATTTCCTCTTGGAGGCTTGCATAAAAGTTTTCTATTTCTTCTTCAGTATCTGCTGCTGGGGTGTAGACTTGAATGATAGGTTTTCCGAGAATGCAAATTGATACTATTTGAATGGACTTTGCATCATAGCACCGTATCTATATGCATTCCCACATACTCATGATATAAGGATTCTTAATTTATTTAAATCAATCCAAGCTGTCATTAAGACCACTTCTGGTACTCAAGCAGGAGGTGAATCTGCCAAATGAATTACTGGAAGTTGTTGGGAAGTGGGGCCATTCTAATTTTGGATGTGGATGATCAGGCCAAGACTACCATTTTTAAAGAAATTGTATTTTGTTCTTGTTCTTTGAACTTGTAGCATTATACTTGGGAAGTTTTTTAATTTTATGTGTTTGCTGTTTCTTGCCTGTCCATGGCATTTTTCCTGCCTGAGTGTGTGCTCCTTCCTTTCCTCATGTTCCATTTCCTGCAGGAAATTTTCTGGCCTTTTGTAGTTTCCGTGACTCTGTCCATGAACCCCTTGGACTTCTTTGTCCCGTTCCTAATCCATGGCATCTATTCTGCTTGAGTTTTCTATTCATGCCATGTTAAATACCTTCCAAACATTTTGGAGGGATTTAACTCTTTTGATTCACCCATTCAACTTCTTTTTGATGAATGCCCCTTCTATTTCTGGAAGCATCCTCTTTGGAAATGCAATAACTTTGAATTTCTGGGCTTTTTTTAAACTTATGTGTATATCAGGTGAAGCATCAGTGCGATGGGTAGTTTGTACATCATCAGATTATTTGTCTAACTCATATCATACTGTCAATATTCTAATGCCTTTTTACAGATCTGTGCTGCAGCCATACCAGGGATCTTGTTCACAGCTCTGATCATTGTGCCTCAAAATATTATTGTAGTGCTGGAGAAGGAACAGAAAAGGACAACCAAAATGATCAAGAGGCTGAAGCAACTTCCCTGTTTGGCACTCTTCAGCTGAGATGGGGGAAAAGGATGCGCAAGGAAGGGACACAATACAAGTGAGCAAAATTCGGCATGTTGTGGAGAAATCGGAGAGGGAGTTTTTCTTCTTCATTCATAAGATTAGATCCCATGGTAATCCTATGAAATGGGGAGATGCTGGACAGCTAAAAGGAAGTACTTCTTCATATGCTAGTTGAACTGTGGAATTCAGTGCCGTAAGTGCTAGTGATGGTTTCTTTGCTAAAGAGGGATTAGGGAAATTTATGGAGGATCCAGTATCAGAGGTCGTATGTTTCCAAGTGCCAATTGCTTAGGAGGCAGGAAGGCACTCCTGCATTCCCGGCCCGCAGGGCCGTCTTAACAGCATTATGGGCCCCCAGCAAAGCAGTGTACCGGGGCCCCTACGACAACTACAACGACTGTTAATTTTGGAAGTTTTCCAATTTTCCAAGGGTTAACAAGGGTTTAGTATGGGGCCCACGGGCAAGTGCCCATCAGGCCCATGCGTTAAGACAGCCCTGCCGGCCTGCTTATGCACTTCTCACTGGGTCATCTGGCTGGCCAGGCCCCTGCGAGGCCTGGATGCTGCACTAGGCAGGGTCCCCTGCATTGCCTGTTCTAATTAGTGGTGGCTCCCCAGCCAGGCAGAGAATGCGCTTCCTATCATCTGTTTTCTGCTCCTTTTAATTGGAAACAATCGAAACTGAACCTTCCGCATGTAAATGAGCTGGATGCCACAGGGCTGTAGCCCATCCATTTGTCTACCTAAAGGAGGGTTGTATTTTGCCAGTAATTACAGCAGTGCCTGAATAAAATTCCTAGGTGACACTCCAACTACCCTTTAGTTTAGCTAGATTATCCCCCCACCTCCTAAAAACAGAAACAAAGGCAGCAATTTAACGAGTTGGGGGGCAGGCCCCAGCTCCCCTCCTTGAGGGCTGGTAGAAACTAAATCTGCTCCCCTATCACCCGTTGAAACCAGTGCAGCCACTAGGAACTCAGATCTGCACCTGCGTAAGCCCAGCCCTTCATCTATACAGCCATATTCTGGTTCTGTTACTTGGTCTTACAAGCATCAAGATAAATGTTAACAAAGCACGATAGAAGATTGACAACTGTTGTTGTCTGACTGATGCTCTGTCGGAGAAACATCTCTTGCCAGAGACGGCTGCTGTCAGCTTTTTATGTTACTTTCTCCACATATACTTCAGCTGATGGTTTAAGCCCAAGTCAAGCAGGTACTCCCAAAAGCACACGCAAAAGCCCAGAGTCAGGGCTTGTCTGCCTTAGCTGGCAACCAGGACCTACCAAAGACACTGGGCTGCCCAAGGCGAAGAACAAGATGGCGCCTTCCTCCCCACATCCTGTTGCCCCCACTTCAGCACTGGTAACAGAACAGTATCTTCTGCCACTCAGTAGGGCAACAGGCTAAGTTAGAGGGTGCGGTGCACACACAGCTCTGCCCTCCAGCACCACCTGGCTGCATTCCAGCTCTTGGCATTTGCCAGCACAGATGGCCATCTCCCACAGCCTAAGCAGGATAGCCAGCCCTGCTTGCAGCAGGACTTTGTCACCTCTCCCTAAGCCATGAAACTGGCACACCTGCGGAAGCTGCATGAGTCTCCTTTCCATGACGTAGTTGCAGTCTCGGCAAACCCAGCCAGATGAGAATTAGTAGGCCAGATGCGATAGCGGGCACATGTTTACTTGGGGGTAAAGTCCAGCACAGCACACATTACTGCTTGGTGACAACATAAAGTAGGTCAAGTAGCTGAGAAATGTGGGAGAACAGAATCGTGGATGGAAAGAGATGGGCGCAACTCTCGCTCCTTTCTATCCCCCTTCTCGTCCCTGGCACATCTGGGCCAGCCATGCCCAAGGGGGCACTTGCAGCTTCTTCAGCATTACAAGAATTCCCCCTACCTAACATAATTCATTTGTTACAGAACCTTCATATTTCAACCACATGGAAAACCAACTTCTTAACAGATTGCTCTCAAGGAAAATAAAATCTTACTTAAGTACTGATTTCATCAAACAAAACACATTGTTTATTTACTAGACACAACTCTGCAAACGTGACAAGCTTATTCAAGTGTACCTCTGTTAGTTAAATAATCTGTCCTAATTGCAGATTAAATGTGCTAGCAGAAAGAAATGGAAAAATGGATTTGGGGAAGCAGGCAGGGAAAACCGAAACCGGGCTCAGAGCTCTGGCAGAGGATTAAGCATGTTTGCTCCCAATTCCTACAACCCTTCAAGCTGGCTGAAGTTTATCTCCCTTATCATAAGGAATAGGACATTTGCTTTTTGTTAGAAAAACTGAAATTCAGCAGAGTCTGGTAGGGCTCATAGTTACGTCACCAGCAGAGTCATGCAGCAACACTGAGATCACAAAGTACAGGTGAGAGTAACACTGTCCAGAAAATAGCTACTGTATACTATCAAGCAGCCTGAGTTATGTTCCAGCAACAGGATCAGATGCTTGCCAGGTCTCCAAGACCACTTTCACGCAAGGGGCCAACTGCTGGCTTGGAACATCATCTGACTTGGCCTTCCCCAAGCTGGTACCTTCCAGATGTTGACAAGGACAGGTCATTTTGGAGGGCATTCATTCATCGAGTTCCCCATAAACTGGAGACAACTTGATGGCATGTAACAGCATCAATTCCATCTAACATGACCAGTGGTAAGGGGAACAAATTGTAGTTGAAAACATACAAAGGGCACTAGGCTGAACTAGCGTCTCTCACCCAAGTCCCTCTGTCCAACCTGGAACTCTAAGCATATTAAGCTCCTGCACTACATTTTGCTAACAATCTGGACATAACAAAAGGAGGCAGAATTCAGGGCCAGCTCATGATAAGGCCTCTTACAGTCTAGATTAACTATTCAAGAAAAATGCATATTGAACCAGGAGACAAGTGCCAAGTCTTCCCTGCATACCAAACTGGCAGCTTAGCTCAGCTTCTAGTTGGCACTAGAAGGGAGACATTGCACCAGACAGTCTCTGTTTTAGGAGCTGATGCTCCTGTGATACCCATGACTCCTGAGACCCAAGCCTGAGCAGGCGGCAGCAGCTTTGACTTGTTTGCACATTACTACAGGACAAGCAGTCAGTCTTCCTGTACCAATTCACATTGGCTTGGCTAAAGACATTTTCTGCCTAAGTTGCATATTTATCCAGTTACATTCATCAGTTCCTCTCCCCTGGTGCCTCAGATGTTTTGGACTAGAATTTCCATCATTTTTGACCATGGGCTGTGGTGGCTGGGGCTCACGGGAGTTGTAGTCCAAAAGATCCAGAAGGCACCTGGCTGGGGAAGGCTGCTCTGGCTCCACCGTACGACTAGGCTTTGCCACTAAGTGTCTGGTGGGGAATTTGCCCTGTGGGCCTTGGTCAGGCAATGGAGTGAACTTGCTGAAGGAATCTCTGCACCCCCAAATCAGGTCAGTAGTGGTGGACAAGCTGCCCTAGAAAGCAGCTTGTGTAGCCTTCTTAATTTTCTCCTTCAATTCAGTTGCAGCAAAGGACTAGGTATGGCCTATGGTGTGTTCCTCATTTAAGCAGGGCTGAGAGGCCAGATGGATTGGGCCAACTGACCATACACCCTAAAATATGCCTCAGACACACTGCAATACAAAAGGGTGTGGTAGGGGACACACTAGTGCAGAAAGATTCCTCTGCAAGGAGGAAGCTTGAAAACCATTCCTCTAACACCTTCTAGGTTTTGGGCTTTGTCTGCTCAAAACTTAACAAGGATTCCAGGATGGCGTCGGAACGAGACAGATGCGATTAACGGAGTTTGTTTATCACGCCGGTATAACTTGGCAGCGAGTCGTGGGAGACTCATCTAAGCCCTGTCGGGGTGAAGACAGATTGCCTGGGCACACTTTTGGCCTGATGTGAGATGGCAATCTCGTATCTGCTGAAAGCAATTCAGGTACTTTTCAGCCGAGTAACACAGGGGGTGGTTTCAGCCCCTTCAACTTCTCGACATCTTAGAAGATTAGCTTAGGATTTTTATTAGCTAGATAAGCATTGGAACTGCTGAGTAAATATTTTTTACTTCTTTTGCAATATTACCCATGGAAAAGCTGCATTTGTTTATAATTTGGCATTTAGAAAAGAAAAACCCTCTGGATGTTTAGGCGGCGACTGAGATGAGAGAGTGCTGAGGCTTTTGTCCAAGTTGAAGCTGAAGAAAAAGACTTTTTCCTCTAACCTAAGGGTATAAAATTAGTTTAAATTTTTAAGGTGCAATTACGTGATAGGAGTTCAAAGCTTTGACCGATCATTTTGGATATCTGTTTGGACTTCTACCAAGATCAACTGGACACTCGCTAGGATATTTTTCACATTGTCGGATGCTTTCTTCTTTAATGTGACAACTGTTTGGGTGAGCATTCCTATTTTCCTTTTGCAATACTACTTGTGGAAAAACTATCTGTTCTTAATTGGCATAAAAAAAGAGAGAAAAGGGAGAAAAGAGGAAGGATATAAGAATCTCCATTTCCTCTCCTGCATTTCTGGGACCTCTGCCAAAGTATTTGGCAACTTGCCAACCTTCTGACGACCACTAGTGATCTAGAAGAAAAGTGGAACTGATCTTGGCTGTCACTTTGTGGCTATTGGAATTATTGCAACAATGGTAGAGCTGAAGAGATTTTTTTTGGAAATACAAGAATCTTTAACAATTTTACAAATATCCCAAGAGGTGATGTTGAGACAACAGGAAATCTTCTCAATTGTACAAAAAAAGCGCTTTGATAAGCTTGATGCTTCTTTTAAGGAGATGGTGATTGATGTAGAATCCAAAACTGAACAGAATATACAAGAAATGCAACAAGTATATGAAAAATTTGAAACTGTGAATAAAAAGAAACAAATTTGGCCACTAAAGGAAGGAATATTTTTTTTTTTTTAAGATGGATGGATCCTGAATTAACTAAAATTGATTCTGAGGAAGAAGAAACAGTGAAGGTTGATTTGCAGCAAAAAACACAGCCATTGGGAATAAATATTGACCTACAACAAATGCTACAATCACTGAAGATAAAGCAAGAAATAGTGAAGATTGAAATACAGACTTTGAAGTGGGTTGATTTTCAACAAATAACACCAAGGGGAGAAAGATGGGCTGGAGATGTAAAGTTTAAAAATATTGATTTTCAACAAACCCTATTAAAACTAAAGCGGTTTGGAAGAGGTGTAAAAAAGAAATCTTAAAAAGGAATGGTATAAATGGGTTGGCATGTTTATTGTGGTATGGAAAGGCTAAGGTATATGATTTTAACTGTGGAAGCTTTTCTACATTTAAATGTGTTGAATTATGAAGAGATTATAAGATAAGATTTAAACTGAACTAAGAAGGAGAAGAGTAGGAGTGGAGTCCCCCCCCTTTTTCCTCTCCTTTGTGGGTGATATAAGGGAAAATGAGAGATTCTTTTCTTTTTTTATCTTAAAATTGAATGACCAAAAGCTAAGTTGTATGACTCTCTTGTCTTTGAATTGCTATACTAGAAAATGACTATTATGGGAGTAGGAGGAGCTGTACTAAATAGATTTCTTTTTACAAGCGAGATATATTAAAGATTGTAAGGAGCTGGACTCTTATAAGGAGTTAATAGTATGTGATTAAGTGAAGTGTAAACTAGATGAAACTTTAATTAGCTTAAAGAAAATTTATTTAAAAGTTATCATAGATAATTGTTGTCATTAAATAGATTAGATAAGATGTCCTTAAAGATGCTAAATGGATGTTAGACATGTGAACATAAATTGGGTTAAAAGTCTTTAGTTCTTTTTTAAGCTTGGAACTTCTCTTTCACTTTCCTTTTTAGTGGATATTAGACTGGAATACTAGTAAGCAAAAAATGTATTTGATCGTATTTGTAACTATTATGAGGAGTTTATCTGTTTAATATTAGAAAAATGAAAAGATCTGGAATTGTGTAGAGTTGGTTAGATTGAAGCTACTATCGAAGAAGAAAGAAGATATTGACTTTTATCAAATTTGGAGAGTCTTTCTTTTAATATTTGTCAAGGAAAACGGGACTCTGTAAGAAATGGACTGATCTTACCGCAGAAGGAGAAAGAAGATAGTGCCTTCTATCAAATTTGGAACCTTTTTCTTTTTTTTTAATTGGCTGGAGAAACGGGACTTGGTTTAGATCTAAAAATGTTTTTTTTAAGATTCCATAAATGGATCTGAATATGATTACAGAATGTTAAAAGATATGTAGTAAGGGGCTGACTCAGTAGTTCCGATGTTTGTGATGATTGATGTTTTTAGTACTGTTTTAAAATTTAATAAAAAAAGTACTGCAAAAAAAACCAAAACCTTATCTCAACAAGAGAGCTCAGACATGAGCAGCTTGCCATTAATATCCAGCCACTGAATCTGTGGCAACAGCTGCCGTAAACAGAGGATGCCAAGAGTGTCTATGGATCCACCGAGAAGAGCTGATGCTGGCTGCATGGCCATATTGCCACATGATCATGTCCACAACCATGGATAGGTTGGGGATGCACCATGATGGGTCGGCCTGAGAAGCCCCCTCAGGTTCTGAAGCTGTGTCTTCATCAGGGCACTGCTCTGATGTGGAAGGAAGGCACATGAGAGTGTGGAAGCCAGGGATGCTGTGCAGAAGGAGGCACTTTCCCAGAAACTGACTAGCACTTCAATACTGTCAGGGCACTAAGCAGGATGCTAGCCGGTTTCTATGCCATTTCCCCCACTACTGGGAAAGCCCAAGAGGTACCAACAAATAAGAAAGCCCTTTGGACGAGGCTGTTAATCTGCATTATATTTTCATTAATAAATAAGTTCTCTTTTAATAACACTGAACATTTAAGATCCCCCCATATCTTCCTTTCCTTCTCACACACAAAGAGACAATGTCTATAAAACAGTCACCCCCTCTCCCCTTCCTGCCCCCACCTACAGAGGGAGAAGATACCCAAACACCTCTGTCCTAGGAGCGGGGGAGGAGGGAAGGAATGCGGAGGAGGGGGGAGGCAGGGAGAGGGGCCTGCAGTTGGCCTGCTTCAGGCAGGCAATGAGACAAGCAGCAGATGCAGAGATGATCAGGGCCAAACAAGGGTGACTTGTGCATCAGAAAGGGGGCGGCTCTGTTGAACCCTTCAGATGCATGGAACAGCCCTCGGAGGTGCTCCTGTCCATGATGGTGCTATGCCAAGCCCCAAAGGCCCTCCAGAGCAGGGCAGGTCTTGAGCCAACCTTCCTTCTTGCCGTCCAGCCGAATTCCTGTCCCCTCTCACATCCATCTGGAAGGGGAAGCGCACGAGACGGCTGCATGGAGGGAAGCATTGCGAGGTGGAGGGGACGACAGGCCTGCTCAAGCCAGAGAGAGTGGGGCATGGGACCCTTCCGGATTGTCCAGGCCTGGCCCACGACAACCCTCCAGCAACCCCCACCCCGCCCCAGAAGGGCCGACTGGAGGGCCCAGAGTCTGCAATGGCTCCACCACCACCACCCCCTTCTGCTCCCAGAAGCGGGAGGCCCTTCACATGACAGAGCAGCTTTTTGCTTTTTCCTTCTTGAAAGTAGAAGAGATGAGCTCAGATCGGCTGGGCAGGCGGAGGAGTCTCTTGGGAAAGCTTCGGGTTGGGCTCTTGGGGGGCTGGGGGCCAGGCTTGCTGAGGCAGAGCGATGCTGCTGTCCGGAAGATGCTGTGGACACTCTTCTCCGATGTGAAGGCTGAACACTCCAGGTAGGTTTCTGCTCCAAGCTGCTTCGCTGCAGCACAACCCTGCCAAGGGGAAGAGAAAGGACTAAGAACCACCTTATTGGTTCTAAGAGAGGTCATCCAAGGTCATCCACTCAGAGTAGGGCCTTCTTTGCTGTGGCGCCCAGACTCTGGAATGTACTCCCCAGAGAAGTACACCTGGTGCCAAGTTTATACTCTTTTTGGCACCAGGCCAACACCTTTTTATTTAAACAGTATTTTAAACTTTAATAGTTGAGTTGCTCTATTTGTTTTGTGATTTATTGTTTTGTTCTGTTTTATTATTTATTGAAATTGTTGTTTTAATTGTCTTTTTAAATATTGTAAGCTGTCCTGAGATCTTGTATGATAGGACGGCATACAAAAGCTTTTAATAAACAATAAATAAATTAGTGCTGGACCACTGACAGCAGGACTAGCATCCAGCAAGGTGCTGCCCATAAGGAGACTTTGAGACCCAAGACATAAAGGCAGGGGATGGGTTGGCAACCTGGTGGCCCCAAGATGGTTTTGGACTACCACTTCTGGCTTCTAGATCGAGAGAGGTATTACTACCACTCTACATGACTCTAGTGCGCCCACAACTGGAGTACTGTGTTCAGTTTTGGGCCCCTCATTACAGAAAGGATATAGCCAGGTTGGAGTCAGTGCAGCGTAGGGCCACAAGGTTGGTGGCCGGTTTGCAGGGGAGGCCATATGAGGCGAGACTGAGGGAACTGGGTCTCTTCAGCCTGGAGAAGAGGAGACTCAAAGGGGATATGTTGGCGACATACAGGTATGTGAGGGGATGTCACACAGAGGTGGGTAGAGACCTGTTCTCCCCTGCAGAGAAAGGCAGGACGCGCTCCAGCGGAGCAAAGCTCAGGGAGCCAAGGTTCCCTTTGGATGCCAGGAAGCACTTCCTGACAGTTAGGACCCCGAGGGTGTGGAATGGGCTTCCACAAGAGGTCGTTGAGGCCCCATCGGTGCGGGTGTTCAAGGATAGGCTGGATGTCCACATGGTGGGCATGTTGTGAGCGGAGCCGGCTGGTGCCGGAGGTCAGACTAGATGGCCCGGGAGGCCCCTTCTGACTCACTCTGTTTTCTATGTTTCTATGTTTCTACAGCTCCCACAAGCCCTGAACTTCGGCCATGTTGGCTGAATCCAATGAGAGCTCCCATCCAAAGTGGCTGAAAGGAACTAGTTGCCTATTTTTGCACAAAGGGCTCTTTCAGCACATCCACACAGGCCTTGTGGCAGTTTTATTGGCAACATGGGAATACATGTCTGCCTTACAGCTTCTCATGTCAATGCTCTGCAATGAACCATTCTAAAGCTTCCAAGAGTTAAGGCTCACATGTCCTCCATGCTACCATTTTTCCCGTGAAAAGGCAGATTTCTTGCCTTCCTTGGAGTCCTCCAAAATTTCCCTGCAGCTCAAGACAGGATATGTGGCTATTACTTCACAGAGAAGGGAGACGTGGGTGCAAATGTTGATGCAGCAGAGTGAACAAGGATGGGAAGTGTGGCTAATATGGTCTCTGTACAGCAGCCACGAACAATGACCAGAAATGGATTGTGGGGGAAAACACCTGGTATTTATATTTTATCTGATAATCGTCATACATTGTAAAATAAGGTATTTTATGACGAAACCATGCCTAAGCATGGAGATGATTAGACAAACTGTCCAGTGAACACTGCAGATTAAATAAGCCACTGGGTTGTTCAACCAACAGTGACTGTGTGTACCAGCTCACTGGGCCCTAATTATTTCAGCTCAAGCCACCACCACACAAAACATTCTTCTGTTTCTCCTCCGCCCTTCTCCCCTCCACAAGGATCTCACCCATGCTTCAGGTTAGACATGTAGATGAGCTGCTTTTTAGCTGTAGCTGCGCATTATGCACTGGTTGTGACACATCTAAGTCTCAGTTGCCCATGTGAGGTGCGCTGCATCCGTACAGCACAATGTCTAGGCAAAGGGGGTGTTTTCATCCCTAGCTCTTTCACCTCAGCCCAGTTCCAACAATAGGAAAATACCTGAATGTACAAGATGCCAAAGCTCCATAACTGGATGCAAGACTGTTGAATCTAAGTTTTCCAACATTGTTCAGCTATCCAAACATCTTTCATTAAGCCCAAGTTATTTACAGGAGTAAGCTTTTGCTGGGGGTGTGCTTATAGGGAATAACAAGCAGCACGGATTTAAAGAGGTTGTTCTGGTTAGTGTATTATGAAAATGGAGTGCTTTTCTCATCTGATGACTTTGAAAACATGCCATATAATATATTAGAATTGTTTTGAAATATCAGAGGGCCTTTAGGTTTTACACAATGCTGATTTCAGCCTATGAAAGTTTTTTCCCCCAGATTCAACGGCAAACTCCCATATCACAGTATGCTTTGTATACAACTTTGTATACAGTGTTCCATTCCACTATCTAAGCCTGAAGCAGAAAATCGGAGTTGAATAATTCATGCCATCAGAAGGACAGGGGATCTGCTGGCTGCATCAAAAAGAAGAAAGACTCTCAGAAAAGGTTAGCAGTCTGGGCCAGTGAAATGGACAGGCTTTACCTGTTCATAAGAGACAGGGGCTTGCTTTTGGTGGGACAGCTCCATCAGGGTGCTGAGGTCGGTGCGCAGGTCTGTCTTGCAGCCGATAAGCAGCACACGAGTGCTGGGACAGTAGTCCAAGATTTCGGTCTTCCACTGGGAGAAAAGAAAATGTATTGGAGACAAGTTGAACCCCAAATGTTCCATGCCTCGTAGCACCTATCACATGTTGAGAAATTGCCAGATTGCTACAATGGTATGTTCCATTATCCTTCTGGGCTGCATTAAAAGATGTTATGCAAATAGGAGAATGCAGACTCGGCAACACTACTGTCTCCTTTCTACCAGCTGTATGCTACATGCAGGGTTTGCTTTTAACATATTCAAGAGTTGTATATGAAAAGGCGACCTCTGTTAATACGCACACACTCTAGATACTCCAGGAAGAAACTTCTGTAGCTTCATTATGCTCAACAGTTCTAATCCTGATCAAGTTACAGCTAAGATTTTTTTTTTTTTTTTTTGCAAAAATCAGAATGGGGAGGTGGCCTCACAGGTTGAAACATCAGGACCAGTCCCAGTGAGAGAGTTTTCCGTGGATACTAGGAGAGAACTTGGAGGATAAATGCCTTCACAGGGAATTTGAATTGGTGGCATTTGCATAGCTGTCTCTTAGAACAAACATATTTTGCCTGGCACCGACTTCATATTCTTTTCAGCGCCAGAAAAAACCATTTTTATTCACCCATTATTTTAAGGATTGAGGAATTTTAACTTGGTTTTAATATATTTACAGTCACATTTTTGTTTGTTATCATATGTTATTTATTGTTCTTAGTACTGTAAGCTGTCCTGGGATAATCTGTGTGTAGAAAGGGGTAGAAATATTTTTAATAAATAAATAAATGTTTAAAGAACTTAAGTGCTGTCTGGGGCATGCTGAGACTTGAAGTCCCTTCCCCCACCCTCATCTAAACTTGTAGGCAATCATGTCCTTAAAAGGTGGGTTCTGGGATCTGTCCTCTACAAAAAAAAAGCAGCCCCTTCCACAAGACGACAATCCTGTTCAAGGAAGGACCCTCCAGCTGATCTCTGGGGATCTTCCCTCGCACCACAGCTCATCCAGCAGGGCCTCTTGACATTGAGAGGCATTTTCGGCAGGCTGGGTGCAGTGGGAAGGAGGTGGTAGGGAAGTCCTTTTCCTCCAGTGGAAGTCTGGATCCAAATCAGTGCCTTCCTCCCTTTCCCTGAGCCGGTGGTTATGAAACCAGAGGCTCTGGCTATGAAGTTAACATGCAGCTCCTACTAAGAGGACAAGCTAAGCCCAACTTGGCTTGCGTGCCCCCAGGTGATGCACTGAGGTCTTCCTGAGCAAAGGCTGGGAATTGGCCCCCTACCACTTTGGCAATGCTCTCCTCCTCCTCCAGTTTTGTGCATCTGCCTTTGGCTTTTGAAATGTTTGTCTCATCCTACCCCAAGGAATCCATTCGAGTCAAGCAGCGAGTTTCTGTCCTAGGGCTCACAATTAATAGGGCCACCACAGGGCTGTTTACATCAGCATCACAGTGCAGCAGCACTCCAAGGGATGCTAGCATAGAAGGCTTGCCACATCGATTTAGAACAGCAACACTCGAGGCCTGCAGCGACTGTGCATGCAGACTCTTCTAAACACAGGACTCAAACTAGGAAGCATTTATTGGACAAGTGAAATTTCCCTTGCATAATGGAACTTTTTGTCCCCACTAAAGCCTCCCTGAAATCTACCGGGGATAACACCACCAAAACAGATTTGGTGGGGGGAACAGAGAGCTGGAGAAATAGATATTGCAGGCCATTGTTTTTCCATCAGTAGATAGACACCATTAGATTCAGACCATTTACACATTAATATTTCTTTTTATTGTTCCTGTTATCATCATCATAATCCGTTAGGTTGCTGAACACTGGAGTTTAGGGATATTGTAGAATCTTATCACTGGTGGTCTGACTGGGAAAGAAAACTGGGAAGAAAGGAAGCCTTTGTTCCTATATTTTGCAAAGCTTCTAGAAATATTAAGTGCTATAATAATTAGAGGAGGCCTTTAGTATTAAACAGGCCAGGCATTTGCTTCAGGTGTTCTCTCTAAGGGAGTAGCAGCTACATGATTGTGCAGTTCAATTTTGGCTCTGGAAGAAACATTAGATGAGACACGGCATTGTGTGTGTATTTCCAGTGCTTTTGGTATGATTCTGGGGTGCAGCTACCTTCGATGTCCTCCCAAGCTATGATTCTCTAAGCCAGTCTGTACTCTTGGACACCACACTTCTGGGTGCCAGGGATAAGGAGAGAACAAACAGGGTATTTTGCAGCATAAACTGACCATCTGATGAATGGTCATGCACCAAAACAAAGCGGATGCTGCCTAAATACATTGACACGTACACACACTGGGCACAGTATTGCTAACGGCTATGCACGTTTGTATGCAGCACAGAAAAACGAAATTAACATGGAAGCCTGGACCCTCACTTTCAAAACCTGAAGTCCAGTTCCTCTTGTGTGCGCCATACCTTGACAAAAATCTGCTGAGCTCACCAGGGGCCAGACAAAAATAGACCGGGGGCGGGGCGGGAGGCTGCATCCAGCCCAGGAGAGACCAGCTGGCCATCTTCCTTATCACACTTATCTACTGCTCCATTAATTCTGGAGCCATGAGCAATAAAGTAATTAAAAGATATCAAGAACTGAGACTAGAGCAAAATAGAGTATTGGTATAAACATAGCTGGTTAATCAAAGGAGGCTTCTTGGGAAGCAGCTGCCTTCAGGAGGTGCTGAAAACAACACAGTGCTGCTGCCTGCCTGACCCGCCTCCAGAGGCAGCGGGTCTGGTGGAAACAAGGCACCACACTGAAGCCTCTTCTCCAGGTGGACCCCACTCAGGTCTATGCGGTACCACCAGGACCATGCCACCTTGACCAGGCAGTTGCATAAGGGAGAAGGCACTCTCTTAAGTAGCCTGGGTCTGAGGCTGCTTAGCGTTTCATACACTAGTAGCAAGACCTCAAACCTGACCCAGCACTAAACAGGCAGCCAGGACAGTCAGTTTCCTCAGCAAAGGAGCTGCTTGCTGAGAAGGAGCCGCTCCCGCCAGCAGCCGAGCTGCTGCATTCTGCACTAGCTCCAGCTGCCAGACCAGCCTTAGGGGTGGCCCCGCACAAAGCACACTGCAGTCACCCAGGCTTGAGGTTCCTGGTGCCCGGACCACCGTGGCTGAGCTGTCCCTCTCTGCAAGAGGCCACAGCTGGTCTCCAAGCTGCCCTGGCCGCAAGCAGCATCCATGGATCTGGGAGAATCCCCAGGGCCTCTTAGGCTGGCAGGTTCTGTCCCACTGTACCCACAGTTTCACTGGATACTCAGGAACCGGAGATCTGCTAAGCAGCAAGGATGCTTTCCATACACTCAGTGGGAGACTAATTCTTCGTTAATGAGAGCCTTCATTTCCCCTTTAGCCCCATAGCCCGGTCGTAAGAGCTGAGGTGGGGAACATGTGGCCCTCCAGCTAGTGGCAGACTACAACTCCATTGTCCCCAGCTGGCAATGCCCATGGGAAAGGCTGATGGGAACTGCCGTCCGGTGACAGCTGAAGGGCCGCCTGTTCCCCAGCTCTGCCTTTCTCTGTCAAGCCACGCACTGACCGGGATGGCCAACGAAAGTTGTGCGAAGAGAGGCGGTGGGAAGAGGTGGAAAGTGCAGACCCTCACCTTCTTCAGCGCACTGTCCATGGTCTCTGGGCGGCTGATATCAAAGCAGAGCAGGACAGCATCCGAGTCGCTGTAGCACAGGGGGCGCACATTGTCATAGTAGGGGGATCCTGTGGGAAGTGGACAGGAAGGTCATGAAGCTGCTCCAGCACCACCCCCCTTTCACCAGGACCCAAGGGAAGAAAGATGCACCCTGCCCTTACAGGCTATGGTGAAGCTGCCACTTTAGGATCAGGCAGGTTTCTGTGTGCGTGCACGCGCTTGGCTCCGTACCTTCACAAAGACCAGCGAAGGTAACAGCCCCCCCCCCCCCCGCACGCTCACACACACTGCATTCTGCAGGGCTCTGCACATGCATCCTCTACCTATCTGAGCATTCAGTTTCCCCCAGGAATAGCTTCACCACGGCTTATATAACCAAAGCCATCTCCCCACCCCCACCCCGTACGAGCAACACCAAGAAATGGATGGGTGGGATGGGGCTCCCATATCTCAGGGATGGGGGAAGGGAAACGCAACATGCAGGGAGGAATGGGGGTTGCTTAGCAACATTTCTCTCACTGGCACGCATAGAGAAAAATGGGTTGCATACATGCAAGCGGTGTATGCAGGCAAGTGCGGGGAGGGGAGCTGCAGCATAGATGCATGGGGGTGGAAGAGGAGGAACAGGATCACAGAGCCTCCCCCCCATCCGAAACAGCAGCATCCAAAATGCTTCTGCAGCCCAGACACTGCGTGCCTAGAATAGCAAGCAGCCCCTGGCTCCCTGCACCAGCACAATCTCCATGGCAACAAGGGGGATCGAAGTAGCCAGGGACCCCTACCTCCAGCCCCTTCAAAAGAGGGGATGTAGGAGCAACAGGAGCAGCTGTCACCCCTCTCCAGTTGCTAGGGTAACTCCACTGCACCCCTCTATGCACACAATACTTTTAAGAGTCCCTTATTGTATGTGGCAATTTCCTCCAACTGATTTCTCTGTCAAAGTCCACTGAGCCCCCAGACCTGGGATTCCACCTCCCTGCATGCACACACAATGGGCAAACCTCCTCCCGCTCTGCATTCCAGGACAGAAATGAGGGAATGGAGTCAAAATCAAGGAGGGGGATTTATTGGAGATACGGGATGGAGCAGTGGTGTGAGGGAGAGAAAAAGGCTGCTGTATTTTTGTTGTTGTCACTCCATCCCGTATCTAGTGCCTCTCATCCTCACAGAGGCTGAAGAGGTGGCTTTCGGATCTGGAATATGAACCTCTCCCCTTACAGGTGTTTTCTCCTTAAGCCCCCATTGGGTTGCCTTTTAGGGCAGTTTCCCCCAGGAATGGAGCTCGTGATTCCATTTTGCTTGGCTTCCAACTCCGATGGCTCTAAAATCTTTGCCTTCTTCACACCTCTCCCAACAGCTCCCTTGGAGGAGCTCTCAGTTCTGCATACCAATGCTAGATGTCCCCTTTTTTGAGCTCAGGACTGCACCACAGTGCAAAACACATCCTTCCTGCAACCATCTACTCACCTCCAAACCAAAGCCTGTTTGCTTCCAAACTATTTATCCTAGCTCACCGGATGTTTCCTTCTCCCTTGCTAGATCTAGGTGGGTGGAAAGGAATTTAATCCACATTCACCTGCATTATTTCGGTATTCCAAAACCAAGGCAGAGCAAGAGGAATTCTCCCCCTCCCACAGAAAAGACATCATTCTCAAGATATTATCCCCCAGCACACATCCTGACCCACTGGGACCCCCTCCCCCCGCTTTTATTGTTTCTAAAGTCACAGACTGCTAACACAGATGCGCTGCCACTCAGCCAGCTGACAGGTCCTACAAGTTATGCCTCTTGCTCAGGCTGCTTCACTGCAGCACAGTGGAAAGGGGGAAGGGAGGTCCTTCGCAGTGTCCAGGTCCCGAAGGAGAGAGAGATGCCTCACCGGATGTGTCCCACAGACTGAGCTCCACCCGTTGCTCCTCTGTCTCCAGACATGCCGTGTAGTTCTCAAAAACTGTGGGCACGTAAGTCTGAGATGGAGAGAAGATGCAGAAGGGTCATTAGGCAGAACTTCTTAAGTGGAAATGGCAGGGGTCGAGGTTGGAAGAGCCATCGAGCAATCTGACAGCAACAAAGGACGGCGGGGCAGTGCACTTGCCCGCAAATACAGATGATGGGGGTGGGTAGCACCTGAGAAAGTCATGCAATCTGCGACTATCCTTAGAAGCTGGCTGTCAAAAGCGGTTGAGCACACAGCTCTGCATATCAAGCCAACTCCAAGGAGATAGGCAGGGAGAAAGGGCCCTGAAGCCACAGATGAAATTACCCTTCCCCCTCCACCTGCATCGGACAAGAAGCCCCATATTCCCCGTCCAGAGCTAGCTAAGGACATGGGAGCTGGAGTCCAGCAGATCCGCCGAGTTAGAGAAGGCTGGATACAACCACAGCAACACCGCTCCCTCCTCTCTAAAAATAGCGAACCCCGCCACGCCAAGCTCTCCGCGAATGAAAGGATCGAGGCCGAGAGTTGCTGAAGACAGAAACTCTGGCGATTCCGGGGCGCAACACGGTGGCCGGCGGCGCAGCTCCGGCAGGGGGTCTGGAGGCACGTGACGCCGTTGCATTGTACAAGCGAAGTAGGTCTCCTCCTGCCCGCTGCTCCCATCACCCTTCCGCTCGATGCGTTGGACTGCAACTCCTATCATTCCCAGCCAAGACGCCCATGCTGGTTACAGCAAGCCTGGCTCTAAAACAAGTGCTCCCTCCAAAGAAGCCTCTCGGAGCTGCCCGAATAGGAAGGGCTGAAGGCGACCGATTCCCGTTAAACGAAGCCGAGAAGCAAGCGTGTTTCGGGATGCGCGCGAGAACGCAACGTCGGGACACCGAGAGACGCAAAGGAGGCCAGAGCAACCTGGCTACCTCCCCGCACAACCGAGGCAAAGCCCTGACCCCGACCAAGTCGAGCTTACCTCCGGGTAGCAGTCTTTGGCCAACACTTGCAGCATGGCAGTCTTCCCACAGTGTACGTCCCCCACCAGAACCAGCTTGCACCTGGCCACCGCTGGCTGAGGAGTTCTCCTCTCCCTCATGGCGACGTTCCGCGGGGCTCAATGCACCACCGAGCAGGCTCTCCCAGAAACACGACCCAAAGCACTTCTCACGCTTCCTCTCCCCGGCGGTCTTAAACTAAGAAGTCAGGCGAGGGGAGGAGACTGTCCTTATAGAGAACACGGCCAGCCAATGAAAAGCCGAGGCGGGATTCCTCGCGACCAATCAGCAACGAAGCAGGGCTTTCGTCGGAGAGCGCCGGGTAGCTGAGTCAGAGTTTGTTCCTCGGCTGCTTTCTCACCCTAAAGATACATTCCGATGCGTGGCGAGAAGGATTTCTCACCTTTCGTGCTGAGGTTATTTAAAAGGAAAAAAGGGGAGGAGGTTAAGTTTGAGGAGCAACTGACCTGTAAAGCACTTACATTTTAAAGGCACCCCTCATGTTTGTTTTTCCCTTGGTTGTGTAAAAGTGGAGCAGGCTAAACGTTGGATAATAGTTGGGGATTTAAAAGAAATAAAAATCAGTGACTAAATCAGTTGGGTCAATGACCAAGCATTGTTTTTCTTTCCATGACATATCTAAGAGGAAATTAGCACCGTAATGGAGTGTGCGGCTGAAATTCTCTGCTTTGAATCTGTCCATGGAATGGGTCAAAGTATCATAAATCTAGAAATTGCAACATCTCTAGTTCCGTTTTTATTTTCTGGGATGGAAGCCCTAAGTGACTGTACTTAAGAGAAATCAAATTTAAAGAACAAAGAGAGGTTGAGGTTTGAAAATGAAGATTAGTGTCATTTCTTTACAACACTAAGTGACAACCAACAAAATGGTTGATGGGTACCGTGACCTTTGACCTTGCCAGATGTCATAATCAGGCAAGATATTTAAAAAAGCGGGAGCAAAAGGGAGGGAGCGGAAAAGGCAGTTGACATCATGGTACCTGCATGATCACAAGCTTGAGGAGGAATGAGAAAAGGAAGGTCTGAAAACACTGAATGAACTTTCTAGCAGGTGATGTAATGGTTTCGCCTGAAGACACTGTGTGCATTTGCAGATCTTGCTAATTGTTTGTTTACTCACAAAGTCATGCCAGACCCATTTCGACCCCATGGACAACATTCCTCCAGGCTCTCCTGTCCTCCATCATCCCTCAGAGTCCGCCCAAGCGCACACCCCCTTCCCCAGTGACTCCATCCAGCCACCTCATCCTCTGCCGTCCCCTTCTCCTTTTGCCATCAATCATTCCCTGCATCAGGGTCTATCTTGCTAATGCACCCTGGCAATAAGGCAGAGGTTCCAAAACACAACAATCCATTGTGGATACAACAACCACTACAACAACAATGGGGAATCACTCCTTGTTCTCATGACATGACAACAACCCATTGCAGGTACCACGTGGCAGCCAGCCATAGTGTTACATATTGACCTGATTCCCAACCCAGGGATGCTGTGAGTGAAGTGGAATCAACTAGGTTGCTTCTCACTGCCCACTGGCTCCTGCTGCAGCTAGATAAAACTAAACAAGTCACAGATGCCCGGACTCTGGGAATGACGACGCAAAGTTATAACCAAAGAACAAACCTTGGGTTACAACTCTGCATTACATCTTCCATAGCAATCCACAAATCCAGGTTCAGATGTCATAATCAGTCCTCCATTCCTTGTTTAACTCAGGAGCAAAGGGGCAGGTAGGAGCGAGCATGCCTGCTTCTTTTTGCTTCTACACAACTATGCAGGGTGTAAATAACCTAGAGGTAACTGTGATGTGCAAACTGGGTCATTTGCTGAGCCTGTGCAAGTGAGTCAGTAGTCTAATTTTGCAGAAGAAGAAGAGCGAGACAAATGATGAGATGGATTGGTCTCCTAAAGGAAGCCACAGCCTTGAGTTTGCAAGAGCTGAGCAGGGCCACGAAGGAGAGGACTTTTGGAGGACATTCATTCCTAGGGGCCTCATAAGACAACTGGACAGCACATAACAACGAAGTTCTAATTTTAGTAATACAATTTAAGCCCCATTCATTTCTGTGCAACTACTCTAAGTAGAACTATCATGGCATACAGTGCTAAATGAGCAGCTTTATGCCAGACTGGATGCATAATTATTTCTGGGCACAATGGCTAAGTCAAAGTAGCAAAAGTTCTGCGGTGTTTTGGCCAAGCTCCTTCTCAGTTCTGGAATCTGAGAACAGATCATTGGGCCTCATACACAGAAATATTACCAACATCGTGTCTGAAAGAAAATCCCAATTAGATCACAGTGATGTGGTGAGGGTGAACCAGATCCATATTTCAAAATTTTAAAGTTGCTTTCTGTACCCTTTGTTTAAGAGGCCAGTGTGAAGTGATAAAGGATGGCCCAAACCCATTTACTTTGTGAAGGGGAGAAGCAGATGTCTCCCTGACCCTGTAATTCCCAACACCCAAGGGTCAGCCAAGGAAGGAAATTCTGCAAGCACCTCTTTCCTCTCCTGGCCATAAGCATGCGAACTAGAAGAAATTAACTAACAATGTGCCAACCTTCTACAGTACCTAAAATCTGCCTGATCTTAGTGGTATCCTAAAGTGGCCATCTCATTCAGCCTGATAGCAGGGCCGGCTGTCTCTGGGAGCAGTCCAAAGTCCTTCACTGGCCTTGGGCCAATAGTTGAAGAAACAGTGAGTACTATCTCTATTCTGTCAATTGTCAAGGAGGATCTGAGCTAGACATCATGGTGATGAATGGCCAAAGTATTGAAGTGCACTGAGTCATGTGCAGTGTTAGAGTGGAGAGGGAATTTGGGTGAGCACAGTTCTGGGACACTCTTCAGAACGGGAAGGATGATTTCATCTGCCAGGGCACCAGAGTGTATGTGACTGACCCGACCTCCTTTATCTAGCAGGGGAATGAGGGCATAACAAGGCTTTCACCTTTCACTGTTGTTTGTGACAGAATAGCAGGTAGGATATCAGAGGGTGAGGGCAAGAATGAGAGACCAGGTACTTCTGTTTTGTTTGATTGCAGTTCCTACTTCACTTGAGCAGTCTGAACAGTAACATTTCTCTGCCAGTTAGTTTGCATTTGTGATTACAGTCTAATGGTTGCATTCCAGCTAACTGATCATACTTTGCTAAAGTAGGGACCAGACCTGCACAAGGGCTGTGGCTCTTTATAGTTTCTTCACGCCATAATAAGTCACGGCTGGCGTCTGCAAGCAGCAGGTTACCTATTCAAGCTCCAAGTGCAGTTTGTTGTGTTTATGCACCTGGATAAGGTAGACTACTGGCACGGTTAACAAAGTGTCCACAGTCTGGAAACGCCTCCCATGAAGCTGAGTAGTGAGAGGTTTAGGACAGATAAAGGAGGTACTTTTTCACAACGCATATAGTTAAACCATGGAATTTGCTGCCATGGGAAGTGGTGATAGCCGCCAATCCATAAGGCTTTAAAAAGGGATTGGATGGATTCATGAGGAAGGAGGCAATCAATGGCTTCTAGCCTTGCTGGCTTTGTGCTACTTCCTTTACCTGAGGTGGCAGGCCTGCAGGCACCAATCCTGCTGAGGAGCTGGGCAGGAGGAGGTCTTGCATGCATCCCACTTGAGTGGTCTTGTGGGGAGCTGGTTTGCCACTGTGGGAACGGAGTTCTGGACTGGATGGACCTTTGGTCTGATCCCACATGGCTTTTATTATGGCCTCATGGATTCTCAGTGGTTTGTTAATAACTGGAACAACCCGCCCTTGCTGGATTCACACAACATGACAAGCTGTGGTTGTGGCTTGAATATACAAAATAGTCACATGCACACACACACTCACTTGTGGGGTTAATTGAGCCACAGTGGCTTTAATGTGATGTGTGAACAGGGCAAGTGTGCTTTAAAGACTGAACCTCTGCAATCGGAAGTAACAACCATGGAATTTAATGAACAGACTCTCAGGTAACTACATACAGGACAGGCATCATGCTGATCAGAATAAATTGGGCACTTATACTACCTGTTGCTACTCTTCGGGGTCCTGATGGGCTCCTGCACTTCAAGGCATGCCCCACCAGCCATGTCTGGCAATAGGCCAACAGCAGCTACACCATTGTTTTGAAGTAACCCTCCTCTCCCCATTCCCACTCTATTATTATTATTATTTTTGTTGTTACTGCGTTGTGTTTTTCTGCCTTTTTTCCTCTTGTGAGAATCCTGAGGCAACTTACATAGCTCGATTTTTGTCCTCACAACAAAAGCTCTGTTAGGTAGAGTTTCAGAGCCATGTTTATGGGGCGGGGGCAGTTATGGATAGAGGGCCATGGGAGCATCTATTTAGTTAGATGGCAGGTTTGGTAGTCTTCAGTTTGCCATGCAATGGGCGCAGCTTAAAGATCTGTCCCTGCATCAGACCTTAGCCCAATAGTAACAATGTGAAAGAACAGCATTTGAAGGCAGCAAGGCAGATGAGGGCACTTTGCTCTGGGCAGCTTTGTCTGAGGAGGAACCGCATATAATTTGCAAGCATGCAACTTAAGTGGGTCCACGGAAACCCATCATTGCAGATGTCTCTGTATTTCTAATTCCACGGCAACAGTGCAGTGAAGGGGACTTGGCTGGCAATAAACAGCAGGGCTGATCAGAACCCAGCATGGGTGTCTACCTCTAATCTTGGCAGATTCCACCCATCCTGTTCCCAGAAGGAGTCTATGAAGAAAGCTGGCCTCTTCCTGCAATCAGATCACCTTTCTAAACCACAATCTGAGATGGAACCAAGCTAAGTTCAGAGAGCCAGAGAGGACTGTTGGTCGTAATTTTTGACTCAGTGGCCCAAACAGCATTGTCCTTAAGATGCTGCTGATGCTGCTGGCATGAATGTCTCACCTTGTTCAACATTTGTGACTTTGCCAGGGGTCCTATTATCTTTGCATCATTTATAGTGAACTCGGGTTACATCCTGTGTCCCAGCAGAAAGGAATCCAAAAGTATACAGATCATTGGGTTCATGTTGACTTAAATGGCTCATTGTCTGAGCCACTGACACTCACTAATTAATTTGAGTAATTTAAAGCATCTGACAACAGTGCCGTTTGTTTTTAATAGCCTTCTTGCTGGAGAAAGGGTTCACATATGCTTTCATCTGCCCCGGTGAACCCAGTACCAAAGCTCGTA